CTTCAAGCTAATTAATCAATAATTTTAAAATAGACATGGACAACATTCATATGCACCTGAAGGGTGTACCATTACCAAGACCATTCATCAACCTTTCCCAAGCTAAAAATATATTTCAATACCAGTGGGACTTGTCCAGGCATGTCAGTACATGGACTGTTATAATTGTTTTGTTAATCAAGTCACCATAACCACCTATGGTAAACAAGACCCTTTCAATTTCACGATTTATTTTTCTCTTCCATTTGCATATGTCGATGTATATTTACATTATTACTATATAATGTACTGAGTATAGCTATAGGAACATGAAAAAAACAGCATGACAAAGATTGAATAAAAAGGAAAGACGTATAGAATATGGTGCTTAAAAATGTTAATTGCAAATACATTGTATCTACTAGTAATTAAGGGTTTACTTTAGCACTATACAGGTGTGTTGTGTAATACTGCTGGGGACTGGGAGTAAGGAGACCGACCACATTCCTGTGGTAAACAGGTATAAATACCTCACAGGCCACAGCAGAGCACACCTTCATGGGTCACGTTGCATGAATGTCACAAGGTCATAAGAGAGACACAGCAAGTTCAAAACAACAAAGGGCTGTTGAACGGATACTAGTACTCAGAAGGGCTGTGTCTACTGAATACTATAGTATGAGCATTGTCTAGGCAAGGAGCTATATGTTCAAAAGGATTCTCTTCTTGATTAGACTGTTAAATTTTGTGAAATTCTCTTTTTTTACAGGTCCAATTTTACCTGCACATAAGTCAAATTTCACATGGTTGACTGCCTAAATTTACCCACAGGACAGAGGTGGCTTCATGTTTCATTGTTCAAGGGCCTGCAGAAAGAATGAAATTTGAGCAAATGTCACAGTCTTTCAACAACCTCCCTGAAGGGTTGAAAAACATCCCTGGTGGCATGTGGCTGTCCTTGTTTTGCCAACTTGTAAGCATGACTGTGTTGACAAGAAACCAGATACTGGATACGCTGGACAGAACTTCGGCAAACAACTGGGCACAATAGCTGTCAATGGACGACTTCAGGCCAGCAGCAAGTTCAGGCAAAGCTCTGTTTGGTTCAACAAAAGCTGGCAGCTCGCATCAACACCTCCCTTTGGTTTTGTTCACCTTCCAAGGTTACACCTTAGCATTGAAACCCCCTCTAGTGCAGAACATTTCTTCTCATTCTCTGCAAGCTTGAAGCCATGCCCTCACTTGCCCTTTAAACAACAGACAGAAATGTAATAAAATCTTTCACAAAAACAGTACCACAGATGAATTGGATATTAGATATCTCTAATATAAATTTTTGTGCTACAAATCAATATATGAAAACAACAAATTATCTGGACCCACTTCCCTTTTTGCACTGTATACATAACATTCATTTCCATGTTCATTGCCTGACATGTGTTTATATATAACCCACATTTCCGCCTTACATAACGGCCTAGGTGACATACCAGCTAGTTTAATGTTTCCTGGCTTCCCCTCGACTTAAATTACATCAGCCCAGTGGTAGCAACAACTGGAACAGTCGTAAAACGAACCATCACTGCACCCGAGAAAGTCATGATATGCACACTGCAACACTCTTGCACAATGAATTTCAACATTTCCCTTTTTATTCTCACATTCATGTTTATATACAGATAACCCAAGTTTTCAACAGGGCCCTCTTAGTCTTACAGTCTTGGGGTGGCTAGATGCTTGCTCTGGGCTACTTACCACTTAGATGTAGCAAATGTATTGGAGTGGCAATAAAACTAACCACGATTACACCCAGGACACATACTGCCATGGTAATGGAAGCCTTCCAAGAACAACTTGGTGTCAAATCCTGCATTAGTCATTTGTGCATCACTCCCTCCCCAATCCTCCAAACTGACAGGTTGGAAAACTGATTTGCTACGCCACAGTCCAAGTACTTCCCATCAAACTGCACAGGATGGTGATATACATGTATCCTTCTGGGGTGCCTTGCCACAGCTGTCAAGAAAAACCATTCGTCTACATTACAGCAATTCCTCTATTCTGATACTGCCCAGTCTCCCATATGGACAACAGATCCAATCATTGGCTTCTTATGGAAGTCATCAGTGTATCAGTTTACTACTAGACTGCCAATAAAATGGACAACAGACTGTATCAAAGGGGCTGTGTGTTTGCTTTCACTGGACTGATGAAATATGACATTTTTATGGGATCTTAATAACAACTGTGTTCCACTCCAATAATGTAGTCAGCAAAATTTTTGTTCTGTAGCAAGATTTCTTTCCACACCGTTCACCAGTCAGAGTTCAGATCTGCATGTCTTGATAAAAGAAGCAATGAATAAATCATAACAGCTGCAATTCTGTAGCCTTCCTTTTTTGTAGTAGATTACACTGTTTAAAAATGGATATTTTCTCTTTTATTAGAACATAGCCAAACACCCTGAGACAGACACAAACTCCCCTGGAAGGCGGAGCTGTACTAAACACAGGTAAACTCGCTCCGCCCCTCCTTCAATTATCACATAGGCAGTAAATGGGAGCTGTTGTATTCATCACCCAGGATCATGGTAATTGCAATTAACACCACAATGGCCCATTTTTTAGACAAAGCAGGCTTCAAATTCCTTGCATTCAGAAAGACCAATTGTCGCCTTTCTTTCAATCCCTGGTGAGAGACAAATCTCCCCATTGTTAGTGATGAGAGTTTGCAGCAAACAGGGAGCGATTGGGATATCATGGCTTTTGATACGCAACTTGAAATGTGGTAATCTTCTATCTGATATATATAACTGTTAATATCAATTCTTTGAGATTTGACTATGCTTCTTTTGGCCATCTTTCCAGTGATGCAGCTTTTCACTAGTGGAGTTTTTGCCCTGTATGGCACAAGATGTGGCAAGCCCAATGTGAGCTGAAAAAGAGCACTAGCTAAGACAAACATCTGTCTGCATATTACACAAATGGAAGTCTGATGACAACTTAATATCAGCTGTCATGCCCTGTCAACAATAGACTTGGTTGTCTACATTCTATAAATCAATCCTTATTGGTATGAAATTATTTCATACCAATACAATTGCATCATACCATATGTTCACTTTTCCTCTGTAACTTAGTGTAAGGCTTACTCAGTTACTGGAAATCTCTAAATGCAACTGGGGAGGATGCATGGTTACTGCAAAATCCTGTTCAATGATACTTGAGAAGCTGAGTCTAACAGTTTTACCCTTTTCTTTAAACTGCTTTGCAAGAAAGGGAAAAGCGTCCTACATGAAATCTTGGTACTGTACTGTACAGGATAGAACTAGAAGGTTTGACAAAATGTTATGCCTTTGAAGTTTCCTCTCCACATAATTTCCCCCAAATCAGGTCAGAAACACTAAACAGTTATTGGATCAAAGGTCTAGGTCTTGCCCCCATGGAGGAAACTAGGTCAACTTCATTATACTGAAGTTCTCTTTTCCTTCAAGGCTGCCTTTCATTCAGCTCAATTTAACGAGCAGACTTCCTAGGTTAATACTTTAATCTGCTGTACACTATGGATACCCAGGCACACTGCTTTGGTATGGAAAGATATTGGTGAGGGAGACACTGACAACAAAAAAACATAAAGCTTATATAGGTCAAACAATAAACATACATTACCACTGGGTAATGAATACCTTAGTCAGACTAGACGGTCTTTGTTCACATTTTCAGGCGAGAAACTGGTTGGATAACTGTAGTGATGTGAAATAAACTAAAACAACTGAAGTAAAGCCAATGGGTTTTGAAAGTAGCTAACTGGTATTTCAAGTATGAGATCCATTCAAATCCTATTCAGGAGGTAACAGCAGCCTTTTGGGCATGTGAAGTGGGCTGCCTCTATTGTTTAGGGCGTGTACAAATAAGTTACTATTTTACCCAACTTGACAATCTGTTTTTCATTACATGCCCGCCAAAATTTGTATGAACAAAGTCAGAGCCCGCTTTTGGTGGCCACGTCAAGGGCAGCAAGGCTACGAGGAAAAGAGGAAGTTCCGGGCGGCATAGAAAACGTAGCTGTCTTCAGCTCTGAGTGAAAAGCGTCAAACATAGGGAAAAGTTGCTTATACTTAATCAGGATTGTTTGAAATGTTTAACCTTGAGTTAGAGGACAATTAGCCAGTTCAAGCCAGAAGTTGTTCTTGGCAAATCATAACATAACATAAGCATTTTTTAAACTAACAGAACTATTTCTAAAATTATGTTTGGATGGATTCTTGCAAACCTTGACCACTAAAAATGTGCGACCCCATAAGACATGACTCTAACATTCAATCTACACTTCGAGCCAAACTACCAGTATTTACTTGTTCAACAACACAGTCTAAAAATTACCGTCCCATAAATAGATTTCAGATGATCCTTGCACATGATTATCTACGTGTTTTCTCCGTTAAAACGTTCATTTCCTTGAACTTGACATTCGAAGGTCGTATTGAGGACAAAATTCTTTCAGGAATAATTGTTACCAGCAGATCTGATAATGTCAATTTTCAAGCACTTGAGTCTGCGCTTCGCGGCTGACATGCCCTGCTAATTCAATCATAGTAAAACGTCTCCCTTGCGATTTATGTGTTTTCTGTATCCAATGCTGCAGTTTTTGTCCTAATCCAATTTCTGAATCATAAAATCGTTCTGCAGTGCAGCGCGTAAAGGGGGGAGGGTGGCTGCCCGGTAATAACATTTTCGCATAGGAAAAATATTTCTCGAATTTGCATAAAAATGCGGGTCGCCAGCGTGGCAAAAGCTACAGAACTGACGTAATCTTAGCCATTAACAAGCCTGTACTCAGCTTTGCCTGGATAACAGAATGGATATCGGGATTGTAGGATTTTGTCAGATACGTCAGTTTGTGGGGAGGGCTGGTACGCGTCAGCCGTTCGGCGCATGGGTGCATCAAAGCGTCGTCTGACTTCCGCCCTTTACGATACACATATTTATGAACATTAAACCGTCACCACAGTTATTTCCTACCTCTTTGGCGAGATCCAGCTCCCTGTTGGTGACCTCGAACAGCGCCTCCAGTTCCTCATACTGCTGGAGGATGAGCTGTTTCTCCTCCAGCACTTGCAGTCCGTACTCCGCCGCTTGGATTTTCTCCTGACTCGTCTGCTCCAACTCCTGCCGCAGCCGGAGCACCTCGACCCGTAACCCCTCGACAGACGTCGGCAGGCCCTCCCCCCTCTCCATCTCCGCTACTTCTGAGCTAAAAATTCCCACATCAAAGCTAGCTAAACGGTAAAAAAGCGTCGTTCGTTTTGCCTGCAGCGGTCCGCAGACAGCAACTCCTCAGCCCCGCCATTTTTAATTTATGATAATGAATTCAAACGTTCGGGTTGGCCCTCATGACGTCATGTCAACACTGCTTCCTCCATCTATATCTCCAATGTATCAAATTTCAAAGCATTCTGAAAAGTCTGGATTTGCTTTTGTATGAACAGATTTATGCACAAAACTGGCTGATGCACCCTATGAATTATAGAATCAGTTTTGCTTAGAATAACAAGCATAGGTAACATTATGCCATGACAATGAAAACATATTGGATATGAGTCATCTTGAAAGACTTTTGATGATGATGGTTTCTACATAATGTATTGTAATGACTTTGGAATCAGTAAAAACCTTTCAATACTGTGATAGTCATGCTAAAAGGTAAGTCAAACAAAATTCCGTAAATCAAATAACATAATTGATACAATGTGGAAAATTTACTTTTTTTTGCCTGTCCAATTTTCTGTTCTGCTCCTCCCATAACATTACATGTAAATGTCTTTCGGTTCCTATTGTTTGGAATTTTTGATACCGGTATACATACTGATATTTTCCCTTGCCAAGGGCCTACACAGGCCTTAGCTCCAGGCTCTCCGGCTCCAGGCAACTTCCTGGGGGAAGTTGCCTTGGAACTGGTCTGTATACACCTTGGAGAGTCTGGCATCCAGGCTAAGGTGTGGTTCCTTGGTAAATGATTTCAATGAAATATTACAGGTCTCCCTTGACTGCCCAAGCACAACTGAACAGAGGCTGACCAAATCCTTAACATGACAGTGAGCTAACTTTTTGTACACTCTTACATCACATTGTTTACAGGCCATATTTAAGTAAGATCAAGTGGTTTGATTGTGTCTGAAGGAGGTTGTATTCTACCTTGGTCTAACACCTACGCCCAATGCTATGACACAACAAGCATGGCGCACCACTATAAAAAAAAAAACACTTGACCAATTCTATGTTATGATGGTTAAGGCATGAGAACAATTAGTCAGCATGTAAGAATAAAGGTAAGAAATTATCGTATTAATGAAGGTAGTCCTGTTGCATTACCTGTAGTATGTACCGGTGTCCATGGCACAGGTGTAAAAACAGCCACCTCCCTTTCTAGGCTTCATATGATTTATTGCAAGAAAAATTTTGGCTGGTTGCCCGAGTGTACACACTAACCGACTCTTTGATATATTACAAGTTTCCTTGACATAGAACATGACTATATGGTTTAAATATTAACAGAAAGTTTGGTTGTTGCCATTATCAGCCATGACCATAACTTTTTCACTAAACAGCTTATCAAAAATGTAGGCAATAACATTGTAACAAAGAAATAACCTTTCCTGAAAGATACCAGTGTACTGGTAGATCATTTGCTTCATTTTCTCTTCTTCCAGATACCATCAGAAAAGATAATTCAACTAAAATGGTAACAATCTACAGGTCCATAACAGAACTGCCCCCATGCCAGTTCCAACAGCATGAGTCATACTAGTACTTGCCCACCAATTTTTCATTTCAATATTAAGGTTACCAGAATCAAGAAGGTTAAAAAAAGCTTGATTTTTAACCTCCTTGCGCTTTGCCAGAATACAGTATTGCATACAATGTTTGCTGTTGGCTCAGGGAGAATCCTTGCTTAGAACAATGGTAGTTCGCTCCATCGGAATACCCAGTACAAATGTACAAACTCAAGCAAGCACTTCTCATCTCACAACATTTGATATGCCAAGTTATGGCACAACAGGCACTAGGTGCATTTGAGATTAGAAATGTGGGCTTGTCAGAACAGACACCCCCTGCAGTCTGAGTCTCACTCAATTAATCCTCCCAGCAGACAACATATTGATAACTAATGGAGCAAGAAATTTGATCCTCAGTGGTTTGGATTATGCATTTACATGTAAATATGGGTGTTCTTAGTCTACATATTTCCATTCATAGGATCATAGGCAGGACAATGCACACAGTCTTTTGCCCTTTTCAGTGATTCTTTTTTTCTAGGTTTGAGCATTTTTTTTACAATGGTTCATACTATGGGTCTCATAGTTTTGTGGAAATAGTTGCTCTATCTTCTTGAATGTTGTGTCGCATTTACATTCATTTTTCCTAACTCTACTAGAATTCAAGGCTGCTAATAAATATGTCTTCTTGTGAAGTTGTGGTTGAAGCAGACATGTCAGCTCATTAGACGATATACAGATATAGCAGTTGCTGCTGTTGACTGCTGCTTTCTGTTGCTGTTGTCTTCCCATGTTCCTGGTATGATGTCAGTGGACTCCCATGCAGACTGCCCGTAAACTGTAGAATCAGCCCTTAATGACAGCGATTGGTCTCAGCTTGATTGCTTTCTTGCTAATTCCAACTGCATGACCTAGTCATGATAAGACAAAAGGAATCATTAGCAGGTTTCTCTTGGGACAATGAGGATTACTATTATATCCTAAGTAATCATTAGTATCCTGTATACATGTGTGAGAAGTGTATTATCTAGACAGATTATCATACTGAGTATATCATGCTGTAAAAGAGAGCACAATGGTTGACAATACTGATACAGCTGAATTCTCTTGCAAAAAGTTTCAATATCTACTTTGATCAGTATTACACAAATTGACACCAACATACAAAAAATACTTTTACTACAGTTCTGAAGAAGAAAAAAAAACACAGTGTCATATGTTTTAGCAGCAATCAAGTTTGTTTTTATAGATCCATAATCTGCAGACAACTAAAGCAACATGTTAGCATAATCCATTGTATGCTGCAGCTAAAGAAATGACAGTGCATAACTTACATGTATTTACAACGTCTGTAACGTTTTTGTAGGACTCTGGTGCCTGTGGAAGTAACAAAAAGATGTAACATGAATGTAAGGCCACACCAATTTAATTTCTTGGTTAACGGATTTTTCAAGAAAAATAATGGAGCGGGCGGGCGAAAAAATAATAAAAATAAAAACAGGCCTAGGCATCCTATTATGGCCCAAAATGGTACAATAGGAGCCATGAAGTCAACATATCAGGCTGGTTCAAAATTTAAGCAATGAATTTTGAACTTTTAATGATACTACTGCATTGAAAGATGGAATAACTGTAACAACTAGGAAGAAAAGGACTGTTTTCAACTGTTCAGGGCACAATATGAGCATTTTGCAGTTGATTCTGAATTTTTATTTTTATTTCCAAATCAGAAAAAAATGAAGCGGCGAATCCGTTAACCAAGAAATTAAATTGGTGTGGCCTAAGAATAGAGAAAGAATAACAAATCACACAAATCTACACCACAACCATCAACTACACTTGATACAGCATTGTTATCTCACCACTCAACTTTCTGATGAATCGTATTATGACTTTGATTCAACAGAAAGTTGAGGGTTGAGATAACAATGCTGTATACATGTATAAATATTAAAATCATTTGAAGCACATATCCAAAGTAAGCTGAACAGATGGTTTTGAAACATGAACAATCTGTAACCATATGAGGGCTTTTACCGTAGAAAACTGTAAGGTAATTGAAACAGCTGTGTTGAACAGCTGGGACAATACCGATAGATCAGATATGGAAGAACACTGTCATTATCAGGGCATGAAATACTTTTCTTCTGTGATCTGTAACATTACAAGCTGCCTGGAATTATGCCTGCCATTTTGAATATTTAATGACCCAAAATCATAAAATATAAAACCATTCTGAGTAATAAGATTCAAATTTATTTTTGTGGGGCAATTAAAATGCAACCAATTATGTTACCCTAACAGGTCATTTCCAGATGTTGACAAAATGGTGGTTTGTAACACTGCACCCCTAAGTTTTTACAAAATTTCATCCCTTTTTTCTGCAAATTATAGATTGTATACAGCTACAGGTTTTTTCAGCCCTAATTGATTTCCATATGTTATTCAGGGTTTCAATGCTTTTCAGACCTCCTCCATGACCAGTTTTGGTGATGCCACACGGATGGAGATGCCCATCTCTGCTAGTCTGTCTAGAACCTCCTGGTAGTCTAGGTTACGCCGGGACTTGGCTCGAGACCATGCCCGGCCCTAGCAACAACAAAAAAATTGGTAAAGCACTGATCACAATACAGATCTCGAGATTGAATTGCTTTTCAAATACAATAAATCATAAAAATTGTCACGTGTGTCTAGTTCTTAATTCTGTTGCATTTACATTAACCCATATACAAGAACTTGCAGTTCATTGACAAAAGATTCACATAACAGACCCATGCCTTTGTATAGAGGATAACTTGACACTACTACACGTGTTCAGAGTACAGTAATGCATTATGAATGTCCTTACAGCTCCATGGCAGGTTGTTCCAAATGTTTGTTCCATGCCCTTCTCAGTCCCTGTCAATACATAACTACATGTTCCCATGGTCCCGCCAATCAACACTGGTTGCCCTGACAACTGTGAAAAAGATAAAAGCAAAAAGTCTGGTCAAAAACAGGTGTGCTATGAATCATACTACATACAAGGTTACAGTTGATGCATGCAATTATACCTTCAGGTTTGTATCTATTGTTGTTCCAAGTTTTCTGATTACTCTAACATGTTGAGGTTAAAGGTATTTCTTTAAACCTCCTTGGAGAGAACAACCAGAAGACCCTAGTGTGAAGAAAAAGATGTTTATTCTAGTATCTCTTTGTATGCCTTACTTAACACGTTTTGCCCTGTACCAGTATTATGAGGCACCATATGTTACTGGTACCTACTAATCAAGTGCTAATCTGACAAGTCAGACTGCAAATGAAAGTTTAAATTTTAAAGTGCTCAGGGATACATTACCTGATAGTCCACAGGTATAAGTGGATGGTGGGGAGGGAAGGCCCTTGTGGAACCCTTTCTGTGTACAAGTAGTGTTGTCTGTTTACCATCCACCATGTGAACACAGGTTAAGGATTCAGTCAGTCTGGTAATTTGTTCCCACTGTTGGACTCTTGTTAGCAGACAAACAACATGTCGTAAAAGTTCTAATGTATAAGTGATTGACCCCCTTTTGCCTCAGCCTGTGCTCCACAAACTCTCGCTGTCAGGGGCTGATTGGACCTCAACCCTGAGCAATAGAAGAGCTGCTAAAAGAGTGATGTAGTCTACTTTAGCCTGTGTTACACAATCCCTCACTGTCAGCAGCTGATTGGCCTGTCCAGTGGAAGGGCTGCTAGAAGTGTGATTTAGTCAGGTTAGTCCCTCTTATTCCTACAATTAAGCTAATTAGACTAATGGCTGTAAGTATAGGTTATTGGAAGATTCCTGGGAGGACATCCATTATCTCAACCTTCATGATGTCAACAGACAGGAAAAGTAGCTGGAGACATGCCATCAATCCTTGACACCTATCCCTTATAAGACAGGGAACAACAGACAATAAGCCGGATAGTGAGTAAAAGTTATATAATTGAATGGGGACAAAAGAAATTTCACTTTAAATGTAAGGGCTATGAACAAAACATGAAATAAGGTCATGCAATTAGAAATGAGGAAATAGTATTATGAGGTTGCTTAAACATGTATAATTGCTTAGCAACACTGGAAAACGATTTGTGGACAGCAAACAACTGTGTTTACTGAGACAATATTTGAAAGTCCGTCAGTAAACACACAGAAGTCTCAGAATTTCGAGGGACAAGCTCAAACATTGCAGTCAACCATCTCACATTTTTGTTAGCGATGGGAAAATTGTCTTTTATGTTTATCAAAACATGTTAACAAATTCTTTCAGAATAGATAACAAAAAAAAACTTCAGTCTCATTGTTTCACCATGGGAAATTACTATTGCATGGAGGCTGCATATCTTATCACCAGATAGCAATTGCTTTGGACCCTTGTGCTTCAATCTCATCACTTACAAAAGCCCTCCCTCAAGCCTGAGCTTCAAATGAAGTATTGGCCCCTCCCAAGTCTAGAACTAGTTCTGGGACAAATATGTGTGGAAGGATATGTGTTCCTCCATCTTGGCTATGTTGTGTGACACGTCGTAGATGAGCTGCATGTCCAGGTCATCTGGAGTCGTGTTGAAAACCTTGGCAAATGCCTGGAGAAAGGTGAGAAGCAGATTCTTACCTAGCAAGACATTAATGTGTTATGCTTTATGCTTATGCATATGCATTATGATACATGGTTCCAAGAGGATTTCTTCAATCTATGGAAAAAGTAGGTCTTGGTCTAAGGAACGAAAGGAAGGATTAAATTCTTATCTGTATCTAGGAACATTTTGAGGGATATTTTATCACAAGAAATATGCTGTCTTGGCATAGAATGCTTTCTGCAAGTGTTAGTTGTATTTCCAAGGTAAATTGTAACAATAATGGAGACGTATCTTGTCAAGTGCACCAATGTTTCCCTTTCCCTCTGTGCCCCTAATGACAGCTTATCATAACTTAAACAACCATCAAAACACATTGTAGCACACAACAGCAGACACCCCTGTGTACCTGTCTGGACAGGAAGGTCATGGATGACCTGTTGACCCAGGCGAAGTTAGCGGCACACGCCATGCCCTTCAGGTACTCCTGTCCCTCGGGGGAGCTGATCCGTGCACACGCCAGCTGTCTGTCATTGGTCAGAACCTTGTCTCTCTTCATCGCCTTCTCCATGGCAACCAGAGCATCTAGAAATAAAAACAATATGGAGGCTGCAGTCAAGCTATTGTTCTAAATTGATTGATGTGAGGTCTTAGAAGATTATTAAGATAGCACTGAGGAACATTTGAATGCACCCCATATGACAAAATGCAGGAGAATCAATCTTCAGTCTCCTTTTTTATGGTTCTGAATTCAGGTCTGAACTAGGACAGTAAAAGAGATCATACCTGTTGCCACTTGATGTCCAAATCCTCTACTTCCACTGTGGATCATCACAACAACCTACAATCACAAAGGAGCAAATACCAAAATAAGAAAAGAAGCTAATGTGTTAATGAAAATGTAAAAGGCCAAACATTAGGCTTTGCCCTTTGGATCAAACTTGTTTATGTATACATGGTTACACAGCAGGGAGAAAGATGAACTTCAGCAGAAATGTATATCACCATAATTTCTTGACTTTATGTTACTTTACAAGTATCCTGACCTGTCCCTTGTGGTCGATGCCCATCCTCCTGGAGGCGTAGTCATCAAAGATCTCATCCACCACCTGGATCTCTGCATAGTGGTTCCCTGCACCCAGGGTGCCCAGCTGGGACACAGGACAACAGGAGCAATCAGTCATCAAGCCTGCTTCCACTGAAAAAGTCTCAAGAGTGCTTAATCAATGATTGGCTTGATAACAAAAAAGAATGGCAGACATCAGACAGATTGTACTCACAGCAAGTTTGTTTCTTGTAATCAATCATACATTTTGTAATAAAGAGCAAGAAAAGGCATTGGGAGGTTTTCTGCTTTGTGTCATCTCATGGGCCTATCATAGTTAATGAAGGAAGACTTGTTGTGTAGACTGTAGGTGTCTGACCTGGGGTAGTCCACGTTTCTTGGCTTTAGACCCAACAGCACTCTGGTCTGCATTAAGCATCCGGCCATATTCTTCACAATGCTCCTTGTCTTCTGCCCAGGCATAACCTGAAAAATATACATGTGCAAATTTATATTTAAACTTTGCTATGACCAGAAAAGATGCTTCAGATCACATTGATTGTTGCAACAGTACAATATACTACATGGAGCAAGTTATTACTTTGAAGTTCATCCCATTTTAACAAGCTCAACTTCAGTTCAATTGTAGAAAGATTTGGAGTGAATGGCTAACCTTCCCTGAGGGACCAGTCCACACCCATCTCTAAAGCCTCTTCCAAGTCTCTGAAAAAGAAGGTAGCGGGGCGAGAGGAATAACTAAACGTGTGAACCACTGTGCTGTTGCCATGGTTACATAATGTGTTGCAATGAAATGAAATGTTATGGCATCATCTGCACCTGTGTAATAGCCAAATCTGCACAATTGTTGCAAACAAAACTTTCCCCAAGCTCACCTAGCTCCCATGGGGATGACCCCCTTTGACCCCACCCCGACAGGGATGTGGTCAAACATGGCCTGAGCCAGCTCGTCCTTGACCGGCTGGACGTCCCTCTCATCCAGGTTGGTCCTGAGCAGCCGGACACCACAGTTGATGTCGAAGCCGACCCCGCCCGGCGACACCACGGCCTCGGGGTTACTCATGTCAAACGCAGCAAGGTTACCTGGGATAGCAGGTAGACATGTCAGTCAGTTTGCATGTGATCTATGGACAATTTCACAAGATGGATTACTAGTGTTGCTATGTATCTAGCTTTTCTCATTTCAAATACAGATGTATAAACATTGAAAAGCATTCAAGATGAATTTAAAGTACAATTTCAAAACTTACCAATGGCAAACCCATACCCAGCATGGACATCTGGCAATCCTACAGATTTCTGTGGAGTAAGAACAACAGCTTAATATGGGTACTACAGTTGAACATTATACAAGATCCTGCTAAAAGTTACATTTACACTAATTCAAACTAAGTACAGAAAGTGTGAACTGGATGACAACTGTACCTTCACAATCCCTGGGAGAGCTGCCACATTGGCTATCTGCTTCATGGCTGGCAAGAATCCGCCAAAACCTGCAGAGCAAAAAAGACATTTGCATTTGAAAAATTAACACACCTATTGTATATATGAATACATGAATGCTTTCCTTAGGCCACACCAATTTAATTTCTTGGTTAACGGATTTTTCTAGAAAAATAATGGAGCGGGCGGGCGAAAAAAAAGTAAAATAAAAACAGGCCTAGGCATCCTATTATGGCCCAAAATGGTACGATAGGAGCCATGAAGTCAACACACCAGGCTGGTTCAAAATTTAAACAATGAATTTTGAACTTTTAATGATACCATTGCATTGAAAGATTGAATAACTGTAACAACTAGGATGAAAAGGACTGTTTTCAACTGTTCAGGGCAAAATATGAGCATTTTGCAGTTGATTCTGAATTTTTATTTTTATTTGCAAATCAGAAAAAAATGAAGCGGGCGAATCCGTTAACCAAGAAATTAAATTGGTGTGGCCTTACTAAAATGATTGCTGTAACTGTAAAAATTTTACTACATTGTACCTGTAGAACAATATAAAGACAATTTGGCATCTTAACATACTTACCTGCTGCCCTGCTGTGTTGTCTGAGCTCATCAAACATCAGCTTCTCCAGCAGGTCATTCACATAGAAGAACCCATCCACCTGGAGGAAGGGGATGTCATGTCATTCATGTAAGGGGTCTGAGGCCCATCAATTCTGGTCATGGTGATAAAAATTTGTCCTGTCCAAGACCAGATTCTTCATATGCTGCACCTGCCTGTCGTACTCATCCCAGTCTACAGGAGGCACTGTTGCACACAAACCATCCCACATACTCTTTTATGTTTATCCCTACTAGTACACAGACACTATAGTATAAATGCAACCCTTACCATGATTGTTTAATGGACACAATAAATGCTGAGACAATACCTTCATATTGGGAACAAATCCCTTCTTGATCCTCCATGTGTTTGCATCTATCTTGTCCAGAAAGTTCAGCTCATCGTTGTAGCTCCTGTTCTCAGGCATCCTACACAAATAAAGGTAACTGGTTACACTTCAAGTATGTTTATTGGTGATCGAAAGATGACACAAGGCCATCTTTAGTCCCCAAAAATTGTCTGAGCACACTGCCTCTTTTCAACAAGGGAATTGGGTTCTTAATTACATGGAGAGGCTCTTCAAGATTGGAGAGGTTCTTTCAATCGGGATTGCCAGTCATATTACATGTATTAGAGTTCTACATTTCAAGTAATTTAAAAAGAATCCCTGGTCTCAACTGTTTGGAACTGGTTGTATATTCATCTCAACCTGCATCATAATTTTCATTGTAATTTTAATTGTCATGCATGTCAGTGAACATTTTATCACACAACTACATGTATGTTCTGAATGCATTTTTCCAAGGAGTTAAAAAAGAGAATTAAACCGCCTTGATTTTTCCAAAGGTGTAAGGTGAGGTGTACAGTATCAGGGGGTGGGGGGTGGGGGGCACTGAACTGCAATATCCTGTAGTAAATATTCTCCTATGATTCAGCAACATTCTGTATGGGTAGCACAAATCTATTGGGTTCTTGGCATGCAGTGTAGATCAGCTGAACAAGTGGAGAGTGGGAGGGGGGCGTATACTGTCAAAACTTTCCAAGCTTACTAAAAATGGGGAAAAACTAACACGGCAATAATATACGGGTCCCACCGAAGCTACAGTACACAAACTACCCAGTAAAGATCACAGAAGCTACTGACGGGACCCGGCTCCCGAGTTTTCCCCACCTGAATGCGGCGACAGCAGACGATCAAACGTGGAAATGTGGAGACTGCCAGCAGGATTCACCGGGCAGCGCGATTGGTTGGCTGATGTCACGTGGTGCATTAGAAACTGTAGAGCACTAGAGCGCTACTAGAGGGCGCTGCTGAATAGTGGCTGTAAATGAAACATCAAGGTAAATATCAACCGATCCAGGAGTTGCAAATTTCAGACATACGATTTGTCTGTCTTGGTCAGTGATATATATCGATATATATGGATAATTCGATGCGAAGAAAAGCGACAGAATTTTTAATAAGATGATTCTACAAACTTAGGGGTGTAGTATGGGCAGGTGGGTAGCAATAAATAAACGTATAGCGTCTGATTGTTATTACAAAACAACTCATACAATAGATATTTTGACACGGAAATTGCAGAACCATTTTCTAAGGTTTTCCCTCTCATCTATCCCTTAACCTAATTATCCCATTTGGGGGCAATCAATCAGAAGATCTGACAACCTGTTTTCTACACCCGATTTTCTGTTCTTGTCGTTTCCCTTGATGGCATGCCTAGCCATTCAAGATTATCCTCCCATCCTTTATGAGCCTAATGTCAGCCACAAGACTTCTTGCTACTTCCCAAGCAGATCTTTTTGTGGATACGCCACTGTAGATAAAAAATAGATACCGACACAAAGATAAAGCCTGATAAAAAACGCCTAGAAAGACGTCAAAAATAAGCTGAAGCCCAAACCTCGATCTGCTTGGAGAGTGCTGCTTGGAACTTAAGTTTCAAACGAATTATAAACTCTTTTATAGTCCGTAATCTAGGCATTGTGTACTATAGCTAGTCTAAGTGCTACTTTAACTACAGAAGGGACTTGGGATTTAGATATGATTTCGACAGCAATGTCAAGAGCTATGTATTTTCTAACTCCATTATAGTCCCTAAATGGCATCGTAATCTAGACATTGTGTACTTTAAGTGGCTGCTATGACTACAGGTGTGAGCCTGGTGAAAATACAGTTCCGTCAATGATGTCAACAGAGGATACATTTTCTTCAGTGTGGTCAAGAGCTATGCCATCAATATAGCATAGTTTAGCGCTCATAGTTGCAACGTCAACCTGGAACCACTGTGTGTCCGTGTACAATAACAACTCCACTGGAAATAGAATACAACTAACAAGGCTTCAGCTGGATTCAAAAAGTCTAAAGACTGAGCCCCCGTGAATTAAAGAAAAAAGAAATAGCAATGGAAGCTGTCAGTAAAGTGGTGTTTATTTGGTATTCGTGCATTAGTTACATAATGTTCCAATTTGAAATATAAGTGATGATATAAACGCACAACTAAGTGGGATACATAATAACACTTTTTAAAACTACAGATTGAGAGAACAGAGGTCTTTTCTATATATACAATTTCAAATGAACCGGGAAGGCCAGTATTTGATCGGGAGCAAATACAGCATATTTCACTCCATCTCTCTCTTCCCATTCTAAACTGGACTGTTCCATATCAATCTTCTGTACAAATGGACCATCCCAAAATTACCTTTACTACCAACATCACCGCAATCCTAAATGTAATTTTCTCATTTTGACCCTATTAGATGCTACAGTACCTGAAACCACTGCTAAAATGCTCCAAATATTCATCTTTCATCTAGAAGTCAATAGCCAACCACACGTCAACACGTAAATTTAAAGGGTCAAGTTAAGTTGCTATTCTTCGTCGCAATCCTGCGGATCTTGAGCCACTTGCCGTCTTCTTTGCCGTCTGTTACCATAGTAGTACATCAACCCGCCTCCCACACCGATGAGTGCAGCACAGCCTACACAAATCAGTGAGATGTTGAGCGGCTTGTTGTCCCATGAACCGATAGATTTACCAGTCTCCCCTCCTGCAAAAGAATGATAAGGGTTTGTACTTCTGACAATTGTTGGATAAGAACAGGATGCCATATACAATATATCAATATGCAAGAAAGTGTAACCTTATAGTTAATACAGCAAATGAAGGAATCATATGATGAAGCGTGATCTATACCTGCTAGTCCTGTCGTCTGGTTAGTGGTGTTCTGAGAAACAACGGTTGTTCCTGGAAGAGTTGGCCATTGTGTCGTCTGGGTAGTGGTGTTCGGAGAAACAGTTGTTTCTTGAAGCGTTGACCGTTGTGTCGTCTGGTCGACGTCCGTAGTGGACTGGGGACCAGTTGTTCCTGGAAGAGTTGGCCGTTGCGTCGTCTGGTCCGTAGTGGACTGAGGACCGGTTGTTCCTGGAAGAGTTGGCCGTTGCGTCGTCTGGTCCGTAGTAGACTGAGGACCGGTTGTTCCTGAAAGAGTTGGCCGTTGTGTCGTCTGGTCGACGTCCGTAGTGTACTGAGAAGAAGTTGTTCCTGGGAGAGTTGGCTGTTGCGTCGTCTGGTCCGTAGTGTACCGAGGCCCAGTTGTCGTGGGTATCTCAGTAGTTTGCTGAGTTGTATCTGGAATTTCAAAAGGCGACTCGTCAACCAAACATCAAGCCTTTTTTTAAAAACCGGCGCCACACAGTCGCTGTCTCAGCTCACTATCTATCCCTTGATCTAGCTTATTCGACCTTTGGGCCACCACAAACGATCTGACAACCAGGTTTCTCCGCACTTTCACAGGCATCAACTTCTCGAGGTGTACCAACTTGTTCCAACATGCATGTACAGCTAGTTGAATGGTATAAAACATATAAGATCCAATGTCTATGAAGTACAATCAATTGCTTTGATGACTGCGACATACATTAATATTAGTAGTACTTACGTTGAGTTATCCTGTAAACCTCGTTTGCCCAAGGACCGCCTTCGCCATCGGCTCCACAACCTGCCGAGGGTCCGTACATATTATAGGTGTTTCCCGCTTCTGCAGATGAAGCGCACCAACCTCCATTCTACAGAGGGAAAACACAATAAGGCAATGTTCAGACGAAAGCGGTGGAAGCGCGATTCGTGTTAATCGCATACCTCACATTTGATACACGTACCACAAGTTCCTTCCTGTGGGAACGCGACTAGGATTAAAAGCGATCCTTAAAAATCCGATACGATACGGTAAAACTATCCTAGTGGGGAAAAGGGTCATTTACTGATGTTTCTTGGCACTTTTTTTATCATCATATCATACCTGAAGCAAGGAGCTTCAACAATATAACATCCTTACTCGAAGCGTTTTAAATAGCCCAAAAACAAACTACGCGAGGGGTCCCTTTTCGGTACCTCTAATAAACAGCAAGAACCAGCCTATCCGTCAAAGACATCACTTACAAATTCAATATCAGTATGCTATAGGATAGGATTGATTCACCTTACTACATTAAAAGTGACAGAAAATTGACTTTGAAAATCCAGTTTTACTGCCCTGAAAGCGCTTTGGCTTCGACAGTGACCTTTTAAAGACGTTAGAACTCACTTTTACATACCTGAAGAGCAAACACTGAGAAGCCGCGACTCTGCGCCACGGCCAGGCATTTCTCGAAGGGCTGTTCACGGTACAGGTAACGTCCGTCCAACCTCGGGTCCGTTCCCTCAAGAGTAGGGATGGCCCTTGTACCGGTGTCTGCCCAGCACCCAAGCCGTTCTACCTGTACATCTGAGAACGGGAATCGTCAACATTGTCTGGTTAGATGTTTACATCGGCCACGTCCAAGCGAATCAGTGATGCCTAAAATAAGCAAATATGGCTCTGAGATACGGTCTCAGTGATTGTACCAAACAAAGGTAAACAAATAGACTGATGCAAAGTTGGTTTTGCTCTCTAAAATATTTCAAGAGATCGAAAAAAGCCTCTTTTTCACTCCGTGAAGGGGGAGGTTTACCTCCTGCAGGGGTACTGTGGTCAGTTGGTTTTACATGTTCGCGGGTGAAACTTGTGTATTCCCTTTGTTTTATCGGCATGTAATTTTGTACGTCGTCTGCAGGCATGCCCATGATGATGCCCGTATATTTTGTACCGTAGCTGTTTTGTTGTTCACTTACCTGCCCATTCTGTAAGACTATACTCCCGTCTTTCTCCTGCATAATAGTTTTGGCTAGTCCCGATGGCTGTGACTTGTGGTCAGACTCAGACCACTTCAGTTTTCGTTGTATTGATTTTTTTTACTCTGTTCCGTACTTCATCCTCGCCTACAATACTATGAATACTATGGTTTTAGATAACGAGCACACGTACTGCACTGGGGACGATATCTAAAATGTCTGGGAAGAAAGATAACATACCTCCACTGACGGGTACAGCCAAGGAGAGGATTGAAAGGCAGACTGCTGACAGTAGGGTGTCCATAGCTGCTGTCTGTGTTCCAGTAGTGAAGACGTTGCCAACTAAGCACTGACACTGAAGAGAAAAACTGACTAGTACCACCAGTAATAGCCTGTTTCAAAGGCGTGAGAAACGAGGTAACGTGATAGATGTAGTCGGTTATTGGCAGGGAGCCACGGGCTTTTATGAACCAAACGTCAGCCACAAGACTAATCTCCATCCAGATCTTTTTCTGGATACAAGACAGTAAAAAAATTTCCTGACCAGTATTCAATACGACACCGTAGATTAAAAAAAATACCGATCCAAAAATAAAGCCTGATAAAAACGCATAAAATATGTCAAAAATAAGCTGAATCCCAAACCTCTGGAGAGTGTTGCTTGGCCTTGAAGTTGCAAATGAATGTACAAACTCTATCATAATCCTGAAAAAGACGCCATAATCCGGGCATTGTGTACTCTAATTGGCCACGTTGTCCATAAAAGGGACATGTGGATGATTTAATTTCGTCAATGATGTCAACAGAAGATATAATTTCGTCAGCAATGTTAAGAGCTATGCCATTAACAAAGTTTAGCACTCTGTTGTCGTGGCAAGCTGAAAATGCTTTGTGATCGTACACAAACAATCACAATTCGATTTGAAATAGAATTACGCATGGCTCTTCATTCGGAAGACTGAGCCCCCTAGCTGTGAATTTGTACAATGCGTGTACAATTTCAAAGTTGTTTCAGTGAGAAATGAATGTTATAATACTAGTAGTTGGCAGTACAGTATAGGTATCATTTCTTGTTTAGCAATGTTTATGATGTCAACAATTGAAAGTGTAAGAATCTTGTTATTTTTGGTTGCCTTGTTACAAAAAATGTTTTGTTTTCGCCCTATCGCATTAGATTTGGAGTCTGCGGAGGATGTCATCCATACAATTTACTTGCTGTGGCCTAAGTGTAAAACTAGTGGGGATGTAGGAACCTTTTCCGGTACCACGTGGATGGCGATAGAAACGTAACATGTATGATTGTAGACACTCTGTTATCTAATATCTTTAATTGCAATCTTATAATTTCGTCTTAAAATGGCTGTTGTCAGTGTACGGAATTTTATAGGGCACCAAGAAACCATTCATTTAGTCTATAGTGCTTTCAGCCATTCATTCACACAAGCAACTTTTTTCTGGAAAGTTTTCACAATTCAAGATCTTTACAGTTGACACACATACAATGATGAGTAATGAAAAGAAGCCAGACAGGAATAGATGATGGAACATTTCGTACATAATATACAAACGAAAATTTAATGTGTTCACATATGGGTAAAACAAAACATCTAAAAAGAGTGGAATCTGCGAAGGAAACAAAAATCTCAACTGACAAGTGATAATATCATATCTCGCTCTTGGAATAGTTTATTACAATACTAGATGAAGAGACAACCTTAAATGCATATGAACGGGAGTTTATGATCATCATACTACATTGATTGTCGACGATATGCGGGCACCGGATCTTTTCAACCGATTGAACTGGTCGAGGTAATCTTCTAGTTTTTGTTCCAACTCTACTTTTTGTTGCACCGCCGCCATCAGAGCGGCCTCCAGTTCTTTCCTCTCCTTCTCAGCCGCCTCTTGTCTCTTCAGCACGTCGTTCTTTTCTGTCTCTAACGCGGCGACGTGGTCCTGCATCTCCTCTACCTGCGCTACTAGATCGTCGCAGCGACTCGCCCAACCCGTGCGCAGCGTGTGGAAGTTTGCCACCTCCTCTCGAAGCTCTTGTACCTCCTCCCACAGGGAACCCAGTTCCTCCTGATCTCTATCTCTCGACGTGTTGAAGCTTTGTTGCAGCGTCGTGAGTTCAGTCTCCGCCGCTGCTTTGCTGACTTTTAGCACAGTTCGCAAAGACGCGACTTGTTCTCTCTTGGAGTTGAGCAGAGTTTTCAGTTTCTGTACCTGCTCCTGGAGTTCCAGCCGTTCGGCGGCCATTGATGAGTCGACGTACGAAAGTTGACTGGTGATGTCGAGTGTTCTGTCTACTGTACGTCTCACCTGTTTGATCTGATCCTTAGTCGTGTGGAGCAGCACGTGGCAAGTTATTGGATCCGTAACTTTACTGTCTGGCTTTTGTGTTTTTCCTTCTACGTGGCCGCCCAATAAAGACTTTGCTTTGTTCTTTTGAGATTTTCCGTCTATCCCAGAAGGCTCTTGAGTATTTGCGCCGGAGGGTCTTAAGTGTTGTTTTGTCTTGGATTCAAGTTTGCTCCCACTTCTTTTCCGAGCCGGTTGCTTCTCTTTCGTAGGAGTCCTGTGGTCAAGAAAGCAAAAAAAAAAGCGTGATGTACGATGTTGTCAAAATGACCGGAAATCTGAACTATATTAATTCTGTTGCTTGTCTGTCCCCCAAAAAGGACATTGCTGAGATTTATGCGAAAGACTACAAAATCATTTTCGTGGTGGTCTTTCAGTTACGGAATCAAAGAAAAGAGGTTGTAACAAAGCACATATGAAGCGGGAAGTACATTTTCAGATGAAGGTTGAATGCGAGGAATCACGCGGTAGAACAAAGTTAACACGTTTTACCTCCCGGCCTCTTTTATTCTGCTCAGCCGTTTGCCGTTGATCATCAGCGCGGTCTTGTAGATATGTTTCAGCTCCTCAGTCATCGTTTGCAGCTCCTTATGTATCGTGTTGTTGCTGTCTTGATATCGCAGCTTCTCAGCCTCCAACTGTAGTCACGACAAAGAAAACAGAATCACAACAAGCAACGTTACAGTTGAAATGTATTTATATAGAGAGAATGATACAAAGGGCATAAACAATTATGCTTGTTCTTATTTTGTACTGTGTACTGTGTATGGGAAGGATGTATCCGACTAATACCTTCTTGTTGTAATTTTCAGCCTGAGACACTTTCCCATTCGCCTCTTCTAGCGTCTTCAACAACGTCTCCTTCTCCGTCTTGATCTGAATTGTACAAATAAAGTTAACAGTCACAAAGATGTTCTTCCTACACAAGTTTAACATTTCATCATCTGACGGGTCCGAACTTTATTACCTATCACTGAAATACAATGCATCATATAGCGTTTGGACAGGTTAAGTAGTGTAAACTACGAGAAAGTTGTGTACCTTTTCCAGTTGTTCGTTGAGCATTTCAATCTCTGAGGTCCGAAACTCGCTGAGAAAGTCGGTGACCGGAGTGGGAGACTGTCTCGGTGATGGGAAGATCCTAGGAGAGTCGGGAGTTGTTGGAATCTTGTGGTTACTCGTCAAAGAGTCGACCTGCTGCTGTAAGACCATCTTCTGTTCTCGTTCATCGTCTAAAGTGTTCAGGGCTTCTTCCAACTGGAACAGACAAGTACCACACATTAAGGATATGCTGGTCATATTAGCGAATACGAAAATCTGGTACATGTACAATGTGTTACTGAATTTTACGTATACAGTACTTCGATGCTGACATAGCCTTCATAGTCAACATAGTTTTGATGACCCCGCTTACGGTCTTTAAGTCTGTTTTACTCTAATAAAGACACATGGACTGCTTTTGATAAAGCAAAGAAATATAAGGAATTTGTCTTATACGATATCTGTACTCAAGTCTCAAGTATACTAAATAATGCCTAACTTTCTGCAGTGATATATAAGTTACCCTTTAAACGCCCTTTAAACACCCTGTACCTGCTTCTGTGCGACCTGTTTGACTCTGCTCTCCTCCTTCAGTTGGCTGTTCACCAGTTCTATGTCCTCAAGGAGTCGCTTGTTCTCAATCTTCAAGGCACCCTGCTCCACTTGGGAGGACTTAAGGATTGACATCTTCGGAAAGAAGAAAATATTTAAGTGTAAGAACAACTACATGTAGAATATTTTACAATAAATCTAGAGTCATGCCAGCCTGTGTATATGTGCCAGTGATGGACTAGGTCTTACCTGCTTTTTGAGCAACAGGTTGTCCTCTTCCAGTTGCCTGTAGTCCTGCATGAGCCTGGTCTCGCGCTGTTTGTGTTCCTTGACGTTCTCCTTGAGTTCTTTCCTCTGGTTCTCCAGGGAGTCTATGGTGTGGTCACTTTCAACCTTCAGTCTCGCAAGTCTGTCGTTTTCAGACTTGATGTTGGTTAATGCCTGAAGAGAGAGATTGTCCATGCGATGTCAGCACAATGATCGAGTAGATCGTTATCAAAATGAATACCGTGTACAAAAGTAGGGCTGTCAACTTGTTGCATTATCGGTATTTGTTGCATTTTCGTGTGCTTTGCCCTTTGAAGCCCAATTTGTTTTTCATTTACTTTCTTGTGGTGACAGATAACTGATGGATGGCCAATGGAAAAATGTGGCAATATTCGGATAAAACATCCTACCTGCTTGGAGTGCCTGACCTCCTCCTCCATGCTGGCTATCCTGTTGACGAACCCCGCCTCTCTGGTGGCGGTCTCCTTCAGCAGTGTCTCCTCGCGCTCCTGGCTGTCCTGAGACAACTTCTGATATCTCAGGTGTAAGTCTTCAAGGCTCTGCAGGAAAAATAGAAGAATGACAGTAATGCTGATGTAAGTATACAGCATGAAAGTGTGTTCCTCTTTTCACTACCTTTTTTCGCTGATAGGTACCTGGTATCTAGTTTGTTTAGACATTGCGGTCTTTGCGGTTGATAAATGACTGAATTATTGAAATACCTGAGAAAGTGAAGTCTTACAACTGGCCATATACATGTAAGGAACAGATAGATCATACTAGTGCATGAATAAAGAAATCTACACAGAGCGGTGCTGTGTATAAGTCTCAACAACTTTTGAGTAACTGTGTGGGTAGGTTCTAGTACCACATAAAGGGTACTAATTAAAGGTACTAATTATTTGGCTCCGTGAAAATCGATCGCAGTCATTAGCCAGCGGGCCCTAGACGCATTCATATTTGCTGTGCACAGTGAATAGCATTTTTGATAAGGTCGACTCGCAAATAAACACTGCCCCCATATCAGCGCACACCATATAAACAAACAAAACAGTTTATGAAGAAACATGAAATCAAATGGAGCTTTGCACAAAGCAAATCATGCGTTCTGTTTCATGATGAAGGCATGACGATGCATAATTTTGTTACATTCAGTCGGGGACCTTTCCAAGCTGTCGATGGTCTATGTTATGTTTTGGTAAAGTTCTCGGCATATCCATGACCATCAGACCTCTGTCGCCTCTTATGCAACATTTATTGTCTGATGGTTCACCGATCGATGGGGTTAAACGAGGCAAAAGGCGCCACTGACAATTATCGCCATTTACCAGCAGCAGCGCTCAGCGGCCCTGAGTGGCCCCGGTAGAGCTCTCCGTGCAATCATCCCATTACTATCGTATCTAAATGAGATTCCTGCAGATAGATAACCATTAGACAGAAAATTGGCGGGTGAAAGCGGGAGGAATGCGGCACTGTAAATTCGTAGGTCATTACGATCCCCCAGTGCCCTTTGTACGTGGCATGACCGCATGACTCCGCAGACTTTGACCTTTTCAGTAGCATTTAACGGATTGTGGTTGTATGCCTTGTGTTACTGCAAGTGTTATTTGGCACCATTTACCAAATATATTGGCAGACACCAATCATTATTGGCAGTCAACAAGATAAAGAATGCCTCATTGATATCTCACTTAACATCTTTAGAAATCAAGTGATATTCCTCGCGTGGTTTGTGTATCATGAACAGATGATTTAAAATTCTGGGTGAGTCATGGCCACTTGACATGAATGGTTCATAACAAATCATTCCATCATTCTATGTTGGCGTTTTTATTACTTTCATTTTGGGTTGATTTACAATGGTTTTTAACTGAATGGTGTTTTAACACTGAACCATCGTTGACATTACTTAACTACCTTAACGTTGATCAAATGTTTGATTAAGTAGCCACCGTGACTAAATAAAACTTGGCAGGAACAGGCAAATATATTGTCTCGTTCATATCCTTTACATACATGTTTACATAATTGACCCTTGCTTAATGACAGTAATATCCGTAATCATCAACTAATAGGTGATTTTGCTGATGATTGTGTACACTACTGTTGTCACACATTTAATGTTGTATCGACCTATGTAGTATCACTACTAATACCTTAATCTTTAAACGGGGAGGGGCGATCGGCACTACAATAGCTGTATGTAACACATGTGTATTAACATCAACATCAATATTTTCCCGTACACTTGTTCAATAATTTGTGCACGTCCTCACCTTCTTGGCGAAATCTAGTTCCCTGTTGGTGGACTCGTACACGGACTCCAGTTCTCCGTACTGCTGTGACGTCAGCCCTCTCTCCTCTAACATCTGCAGCCCGTACTCGGCGGCCTGGATCTTCTCCTGCGTGGCCTGGTCCAGCTCCTGCCGCAGCCGCACCACCTCCAGCTGCAGCTCCTCCAGCGACCCTGGCATCCACTCCTCCTGCGCCATGTTTGCCGCTGAGAGACACGGTTTTTAACCATGGATATACAAACACTGACTGAGAGAACGATCGACGACTTCACCTCGCGGCCATTTTGATTTCCGTTTAATGATTTACCACCTTTTCATTGATTCCGTGCGTGGGCTCGTGCATGTACGTATACAGACTACTGAGCGAACAAATCTTGTAGAAGTAATAGCTCACGGGAAATGACTCGCTTCCGACGTGAACCTTTTTGATAATCATCTACATTTACAAGCAAGGATTTGCCACAGTGTGTACGTCACGTGTTGTAGGCTGTGGGAAGAGGAAGTCAACGCCCACGGCTACGGCCTTTATGATTATATTGACATGTGATAGACAACATTGATCGAAGCACCAGCAGTGCGACTAGAATATACATAACATGTCAAACTGGCTTTCTGGCAAAATTATACACATCTCTGACTCGCTTGTCTTACGCCAGAGATTGGCATAATCAAAGGCATTCCCTGATAATTTACAAAAAAGCTCGGAGTTACAATATTGTAAAGTAGTTTGTCTGTGGCTTGTATTGTATGACCCAAAACAATAAAAGGCGTGATATTGTCTATTGTTACGTGGCATGAGGAATGATTGGTTCAGTAACCACAGACCAAATACATCATATCGTGAGCGAGCGAGACTGAATCCTTGGGGAATTCACCTGTACTGACACTACTTAAAATAATACAGAAGTGAAAGTGTGGCTGAATACAAATAAAGCTCACCAATGGACGCATGCTGGACGCTGCTCCGCACGGCTGCCATGTTTGTTGTTGGATGTCTGCCAGCTGGACTACGTGTCACCGGCGGCTGCTTTGATGTCGGACACGCGCGCAGGTGTGGTAAAGTTCGGAGGTCAAGGGTTATAGTTGCTCAGTTTGTTTTGCTCATTCCTGGTTTAAAGGTTCTACCTAATATAGTGTGTCTATACTAGTGATCGACGGTGTAGTGCTCCCCGTGATTCCACTAGGGTTTTGCTGAAGCATAGAATTTCCTGATGTAAAATAATATACATATTTATCTGTAAATAATGTTTCCAAGTGACGAAAGTATCCAGGTCAGAAAAGACCGGTCTGACGACAAATAATAGCTTTGTTGTGACAACAAGTATTCAAACCTGATTAAGGATGTGTCCTTAGACAAATGACTGTTATTGTCGTGGATTACAAATTGTTATGATTCCGTCTATAATATGTGTTGTAATACGGTCTGGCACCTACCGTTATTATAGTATGGTCTGGCACTTATACCTACCTGCTGAGAGATGAAGGGCCTTTTCCAGACAAGGAGTACCCTTGTGATGTAACTTGAGGTTCGCGTCGAAATAAAATGGTTTAATCTTAATGTAGGAGTGTCTGACCATGGAACGAAAAATGCCTTCCAGCAAAGACAATTTGGCGGGATAGTTGCTACGAGCATACACTTTACGGGTACGGGAACCTTTTAAACACAGGCATTTTCCCAACACTATGATAAAAGTAGATCAATTTTCAACTTTAGGAAATGCTTATCTATGAGTTAATATCACATCCAGACGACATGCACAAATTCACATGCAACTGACAACTTTCACGAAGTTTACATCCAACTTATAACTGTTGGCCTGTCGATGTTTTGAACCATCCATCTGCCTTCACGGTATAAACATGTACTCAGTATCATGAACGACGATCGGATCTAAGAATCAAATTGTTTATTGCACTTCCATAACATTCCTTGCAAATGAATATATTACATATATGTACTGAAAGTCAAATTGCAGTATGCCCTATTTATTCTATAGTCTCTTCCTAACTCTATCTACAGTCTAACTATCAATTCTTACATGGCAACAACGCAAATGCCAAAGTAATACAAAAGGTTTGTTAACTTTTTAATTTACAAGTGTGGAGTACAAACCGCATTGTGTTAAAAATTCCTTAAATATGTGCAGTTAGGAAATTTCTCTGGCTACAGTTAGATTCGGACCGTGCAGCTGTTTATATTGTATGCATCTCTTCACAAATGCCAAACCTTATTAAAGCAGCAGAACTGGAACATTGCAAAATTGGCAAGTTTTGGAAAATACTTTTCATATAAAAATTTTGGGAGCAATCATAACATATATCTAGCTTTGCAATATCAGAGAAATATTCTTCATATGAATCGCACTAGTTGCCTCGCAAGTAAGAGAAGCGCAGAAAATACGATGCCCAAACGAAAAGCTTTCAAAACTGCAATGGAGTTAAATTCTCGTACAATGTCATGCATACCTTTGGCATGATTTCAAATTGACCTCTATATCACGTACTGTGCATTATTGCAAAGGTTTCGACAACAAGTCTTTTCCTGTACGGAAAATATCAGTTTACAAAGGGAACATGCATTGTTTACTTTTGTACAGTTCATGCACCAGTCTTTCCAGTCTAGCTTGTTTGAGCCTCTTCTTTCGTCAGTTTTATCGTACAGGTTGACCCTGATCTTCTGCTCGGTTAAGGCCATTGTAATATTACAATCATAGACACAGGTGTAAATGCAATGCCGTAGGTCATCGTAGCTATATTGAAATACTCTATACACACTCCACACGCAGTAATTTTTCACATCATTTCTATCACACAGCATCAGTTTTTATCTCTATCTTCAGTAGGTTCCCGTTTTCAGGAAATTATCACCCAGTATCCATCGCTAATATAACCTTAGAATTTCCTTCCAACTCTAGGCAGGTCCTGGAACAACAGCAAAATCCTGTTTCCTGTCTGAATCAGAATAGAGTAATTCCGAATTCCAAACAACCCTTTTCACATCATGAGCATCATTAGAAACATAAACTTTGGCCCAGGGCACAGGTTTGATCGAAAGCAGAACACTGAGCAAAGCGTGTTTTATCAAAAGCTACTACTTTCTTAAAGCAGTATTGCCGAAGCAGTATAATCAAAGGACAAGCTTTTGTTCGTCCTTCTTTTGCACATTGTCAGTCACTTATCATCCTGATTTCACCACGGTTTCGCTTTTTTTCAAGCTACTACCAATGGTGATGCTCAGATTACTTTGTCAAGACTCGACTGGCATCCTTGCCTGCACCTCTGTGCTTGGGCCGGCCAGCGCAAGCGTCTGGCTCGACCCGTCAACTTGTTTGTCAAGGACAGGGATGCCACGAAAAAAGACAGAAAAACGCAAAATGCACACATTCGATTCGTCTTTAGTCCAACCGTTGAGGATATTGAGGAAGATATGGAAGTTTTGTTCCAAGTTGTACAAACATGTGGACTGTATTCAGTCCACTCTCAGGGTTCATGAGGGAAAAATAGTCTCGTTATTTTCGAGCTTTATAAATTCGAAGACACCACCTTGGGTAAAGGATAAGTTGCATGATGCTGTTTATAGTAGGAGAAACAGTTAAGTGATGTTGTACCCAAAACACTGCCCACGATATTCCAAACAGGATGGATGTAGTAAAATTAACAGACATGTACAGTTACTTTCCTGTCACTATTTTACAATTTTACTTCTAATAGCTTCCAAGCTTACTTCACATTCAAAACGAGCACCCCTTGGCCATGGCGCCCTTTACATACAGTGTCATGCCCAACTTCCTGATAATGATGCCGTAGATTTTCAGACTCTTTTCAGTAAAAGGTAAATAAATAAATAAATCCAATCAGAATACCTTAATACCTCAGTATCAAATACATGCAACCATGAATTCCAAAGAAATTCAATAGGATCCTTTGGGCTAGTCTTAGCCCGAAAGGGGAGCACCACAATCCTCAAATGCAAGTATATAAAAATAAACTCAGGAACAAGTGGCATTTACAGTTTTCCTATGCTTGTCATCATCAGTTTATTGAGATGACATGTTTGGAGGTGGTGCATGTTACTCTGCTGAAGTATACATTTGTGTACAATAAACTCATGATCTCCTTCTTCTGCTTACTATTCATCACTTTCCAAGGTTGCCAGGAAGATCAGCTTTTTGTTGACTACTACTGTAACATCTGCTAGCTATATGGTATTGCAGGAAATGTCATATTTTCTGTCATGGATATTCAAAGTTCTTAGTTGACTGCATAATGCAAGTTATTAAATGCTATCTTTGTAGTAACAAAGGCAAGATAAGCAGCCAATATTGCCTTAATGTGCCTCTCCACCTGTAAGTTTGAAACTGCTGGGCCTCGCCAGTCTGTTTGACGCACTTGGCCAAAACAATGGCATTCTTCTTTCTCACTGGTCTTCAACCTCGGACTCACTTCTGCAAAGCTATGCCTGCGACCTCGACCGTCAGCCATCCTTTCATCGAGGTAGCAATTGTTTTTAGAGGGTGACCATTGATGCTTCGTGTGACGATGAGGAAAGGGGACCTGTAGAAGCATGATGGCATCCTTGAAATAGATATGGGGCAGGGAACATTACAAGATCGCAACAATTCTGCCCTTCATTAAACGTCTTCGGGTTATGAATGTGGTAAAATGGTCTTCAAATCCAACAAAGATATAAGAATCTGGTACAAAAGGTGTTTTTCCCCATGCACACCATCTTGCTATAATGTAGTGACGTAGACCATTTCGTCATCCAAATCCTCCACATCTTCTGCATAGTCACCTGCAGGTCGCCTGTGCATCGGGTGGTCTCTGTCCCCCTCCGGCGGGTGCCGCACATAGTTCTCCTCCGGCAGGCGGCGTGGGTTGTTGCCGTGGGTTACGGGTGGGTAGTCTGGCAGGTCGTAGCTCCCGCCCATGTGTTCCAGGTAGGGATAGTCGAAGTGATAGCTGCTCTCGGTCATGTCGTAGCCCTGCTCTCGCATCATCTCCTGCGCGGCGTAATCGAGCTCGGCGGGGGTCATGTCGCACGCCTCGGCTAGTTCGTGTTTGGCTACATTTACAAGGTGGTCGTCAGCATAACGTCCAAGACCCTCCTGTACAAGCACCTGGGAACACAGGGGACAGAAACCATCGCAATGTTATAGATGTACGTCTAAAAAATTCTCAACAATAGCATGGTCAACATTAACATATGCTACTGCCAGTATGACCCAATAACATATATCCTACACCCTAAAACAGCACATTGCACACCGTATGTACTACACACCACTGTACCCTTAACAGTGATACTACCAAAATTCAATTTACGTTATGGTTAAAGGCACCGTAGAAAGGACAGTGTTGTGTATTACATAGTACATGTATTATGTAAAGGCTAATACAATGTCTTCTGAGTCAAACCTGTACTAGTGACCAACGCTGCATGGGGACCATTTAGTAGTCATTGTGGCCACTTTGTGCCTTGAATTGGTGGCCCCTTTACAAAAATATTTTTCCCATGGCCCCCAACATTAACTTCTATAGTGGCTATATTCATCAGGTCCCTTGTGTGGTCACCATGGACAGATTTGACTGTACATCACCAAATGAATGAATGCACATACCTGGCAAAGCAACACCAAACAATGAAAACCACATACATATCTCATAACATCACAAATAAAGCAACATCCTATTCTTTGAATACAGAAGACATTATATACATGTAGTACAATGATCTAATTACTAGTAACATCAGTGACAGAACGTGTACCACACCACGTGTACCACACAGGTGACGTTACACCAGAAAGATTACCTGCTCTACCAGATTCATTGCATGACTGTCGTATCTACTATTCCTCCTCGAGTGCTGCCTCTCGCTGTTGGGCCCCAGAGAGCCCGTTTTCAGCCCCTCGTAGAAGGCAGATGCGGGATCCCTTTTGGGTATGTTGTTGTAGTCCCAGCCCGACCGGCTGGGGCGCACGCCGCCGCTGTTCCCGCGGGCTGGTGTAGAGGACGTGCTGATGACAGACTGGGGCCTCCCCGCGGGGGTGGGGTAGGACGACCTCACCCGCCCTGGGGAGGAGGGAGGGGTGCGCCAGTTGTTCTCTGTGATGTCATAACCTCCTGATGGCGGCTGGCCAGCAATTGCAATTGCCTGGAGAAGAGGCGTTCAGAACTTAGAACTTAGACTTTCCAACAAATCATAAGTCAGATTTGCTGTAATAAAAAGATTGATTTAGAAAAATGCAAACATACAACATACAATATTTCCATGAAGAAGGAACTGCAGGATGGTGGATTGTGCAGTACCCTTCAGGATGACGTTTTCGCTTACAACTGACCAAAAAATTGTTGACCTGTTGATGTGCATGCTTGGTGTGTCCCGTATGTTGGAGTCAATACATTAAACATGGCAGGTGTTGACCACGGACATGCCATTTGTATCTTCCTTTTGTAATAAAAAATCATGTCTCAGAATTGTGACAATTTGGGGCAGATTGGGACAAAAATGCAATTCAAAAATGTTACATCTGCCCAAACTTAAGATTTTCTGTAATGGTTTCAAGCTTTGTAAGTTCTGATGTTTTGTCTCGTCAACTTACCGGCTGTTCCACGACGGAGGAGTAAATAAATAAATAAGAAGGAAGTTAGTGTTAGTTGTGTAAACAAGGGTAAGCTTAGCAGCAGACAGTTAATGAAATGGTTACGCCTGGTTAGTGAACAAAAATTATGGCATCTCTAGAAAAAATTAGTTTAAAAATTGCAATAAAACTTTTTACAAAATTGCATGTATAGCATAAAAACAAACAAAATCTTATCAAACAAACATAAGAGTGATATGAAATATTAGGATTTGTTTGATGTGTGCAAAAAATATTTGTGTACTTTTTGTTCAGTGCTTTATGCGTGAGGATATTGTGTTTGAGGCTGTCATGCAGTGATTAGCACAAAGTCACTGTTACAGTAACAGTTATATGTGCCCTGTAAAGTAACAAGATGTTTCAATTTCCAACCTTCATCCATAGCATCTCCAGGGCTAGAAATACTTGTTCCTGCATTTGTGAAGCTAACATTCAAAATCACCTGCACCAAATTAATTTTGTTACCTTCTAGTCAATTGAAAAACAAGACTTGAAGGTTGCCACCTTAAATCCTTGCCACTTAAAATCCTTCTATAAAACAGGATGCTACTTGGGACTGGTGCAGGTAGACAGAAAAACAATGCACAATTCCAATTTTACGCAGTGATGTATTTCAAGCCTTGGTAACAGCGTGCAAGTAAGGAGGTTATATGCCCTCTATAACCTTCCTGGTGCAAGGAAGACAAGTTCAACATGGAAAGGCAAATATATCACAACATCAATCAATGCCAACATATTTTCGAGCATCACTGAAGTCTGCACCCCCACCTGTTGCTGAGTGTATCTGGTTGTCCCAGCGCCCCGTTTGGGCATTGGTAGCTGGTCCTCACCCCTGTATTTTCTCCTGCTAGGAGAGCGTCTGCTGGGGCTGGGGTAGTGGGGCTGCCCGGCTTCTCTTCTCTGCATCCATGGATCTGGGCCTCTCTCCCTGTCAGTATAACCATAACCATAACCATAATCATAATCCCGCGAATAGTAATCGGAGTCACGAGAGGAGTCCCTGTACAAATCACGCTCGCGCCTGTGCCTCTTAGGGTGCTCTTTAGGACGCAGGGGCTTCCTCTCGTCCTCAGTTTCACTTGACGGCTGTCGCCAGTAAGGAGCGTCCATTGTCGCGGCGGTAAAGAAAGGTTCATCAACATCATCGGGATGCACGACTTCGACCTCCGGATCTTCATCGTCATCGTATTCTTCGTATTCTACAGGGGAGCGAATCTCTCCTGATGGGGATCGCAGTCCCATAGGAGAACGTATGGTGCCAGGTGACTGCATGTTCCCTGGCGGTGATCGCAAGCCCCCAGACGACCTCATGTTCCCCAGCGGGCGCATGTCTTCGGGAGACCGCACCAGCTCGGGAGAATGAATCCGGTCTGGGTCCTGGTGTATGCTGCTGATATATACAAGACAAATTGTGAGCAGACCGAAACCACTTTGCCAGATTAGGCCATCAAAAGGAGTACGGAGGAATTACAGGGCGGCGGGAGTAAAAAAGAGGAGTGTGAAAATTTTTAAAGAGGAAGCTTTGTCACAAGACAGGAATGTGTGTGTATGCAAAAGAGATTACATCATGACAACAGACATCAGTACTTGAACAAGCAAGACACAGTTAGTTAGTATATTGGCCCTGGGTTAAACATGTTGCATGATGAAAATTGAGTAAATTGACACACTTCTGGAGACTTGGACACCAAAGCAGGCAGGCATCAACATGCTCAGTTGAGTGCAAAACTGTAAAGACATCACAAAAGGTGCACTAGTCATCTATATCTGTTAAGTGTTTGCATTGTGCAATGTTTTGAAACAGATCCCACAGCCGAGTTTGTGAAGACGCTTGCCTGATCCTGCATTCAAGCCTCTAGAAGAAACAGAAAGCAATGAAAAGTGCTTTTACCGTCTCATGTCAATTCTGTTGTCTATGGGCTGGATGTTATTGTTAAGCTCCTGGTTTGCATTGGGCAGGGAATGATTCCCAATGTGCTTGACATTATCAATATTTTCCACGTGGTTCTTGCTGGGATTATCTGTCACCCCTGCAGTTGTGGTAGTGGTAGTAGTAGCAGTGCTAGTGTTTAATGAAGTAGAGGCAGCCATATTTTTGGATGGTGAGTTATTAGTCGCAGTAGGTGCACTATTGACATTTTGTTGTTGCACGTTTGGTGGCTGTTGAGGGTTGGAAGTTTGCTTGGGAGGCTGCCCATTGGCCTTGGGTGTATTGTCAGTTTGTTGTGGTGGTTGCTGTTGTTGTTGTGAGCTTGCTGCTTGTTCTGGGCCTGCTGTTGTTGCTTGCCAGCAGCAGTCTTTGGGTCGGTTTTGTTTGGCGGCTCCGGTTGTTTTGAACCCGAAAAAAAGGAGCTGGTAAAGGAGCCTGTGAAGCTACTAAAGCCCGAGGTTACGGACGAGACTAATCCGGACCCTGTGGCAGGCTCCAAAAATCCCTTGAGTTTGGAGGTGACGGTGCTACAACAAAACGATAAGAAGAGGTGCAATCATAAGTGCTAACAATCAATGTTGCTACGGAGTCAGATATCGACAGGGACACGTTCAGCACAGGGCATGCAGGCATGCATCAGTTGGAAGAGACAGGGGTGTGTGACGTATCAACAAGAGCATCATCCAGGTTATCTATCGTGCAGAGAAGGGTCAGAAGAGGTCAGCTGGTGGCATTACACACTCAGAGTGTCCTTTGGATGCATTAAGTTCTCCTTGTATTACAGATGGTTTGATTACTCAGTATGTTACCATCTTTTACACAAAGCCATGCACGCATAGTTTCCTTGTCACTGGAGCCACACCAATCCAACGACTTGTTTCTCATACTTGCAGGCTTTCATAATTTGCAGAGAAACTCAATGCAAAAAACAGGTCTTTTGATAGCCTTCAATTTACAGTTTTGCGATACCTCTATGTCTGGTCTAAGCAAAATCCTCAAGGATCATTTTATTGCGAGAGCTGTTCAAAAGCCAAGACTAAGTCTTTTCCTGTGTACTTTCACATGGTACCATCTTTTTTCAATATAAGGCCAATACAAGGTCATCAGAAAGAAGTAGTTAAATTGGTGTGGCCTCACGATCACATCAGAGTGGGAGTCTGTGTTAGTTACAGTCTTTTTTTAAAACCTCATATGCAGTTGTATCAAACCAAGGCTTTAAAAGTAGCTGGATGAGGGAATGATGGTACGAGCAGACAGACAACACCTAACAGACAGACATACCCAACCAAGCCTGCATCGCTAGCAGCCTGCTCTCTGTGGAAGCGTGCAAAACAGACCGGCAAACCACACATTAACAAACACGACATGTCACAGTGAGTACACACCAATGGAGAGAACTATGGAGGAACAACTCGACTGTGTAGAGATGAGGTGGTGGAATGGACCTAAGATGAACAAGTGGAATGCACACTAGATAGAGATGGGCAGGAATCATGCTCTACGATATGCAGCAGTGTAGTTGCAGCAGGCCATTCTTTGCAGGTTAGATATAGAAAAGATGGTGCTGGTGATATTTGTAGATGGTAAGGAGCAAAGAGCCCCCCAATTGTTTGGTGGCCTATTTTGCTTTTCCTTATGATAGGGCAAAATTATAAAAGTTGTCTAAATTGTTTGGTGCTGTTGGGTTCTGTCAAAAAATGCAGCAGCTGCTGTGAAAGCATTATCTCAGCATGTTCATCATATTTCAGATGCTTTTTCCATGTGAATACTCTAACTACCTTACAGCACAGGCAACTCTGACGTTGTAGTTCTGGCTCTTAACAACACAGAGTCTGCAGAGAGAAATGGTAAGATTCTTTGTGTGTCTCCAGAATGCAAAATAGAAAAATGTAGAATCATTTTTCTTGCAATTGTGAACAGTCTTAAGAAATCTATTCTTACTCGCTCCTCATGACTTTGTGGATTGAACCTAGTAGTTTTTTTCCAGAACACCTATCTATACCATATCGGTATTAAAATGTCAGGAGGATAAAGTCCTTATGGAGTTTGGTCCTAAGAACTTTCATCTTTGGCAGGACATTGATATGCACCAGAACACACTAGCTAGTGGAAATGAATCCATGACGGGTCTACACCTACTGTATAACTGTGAGCCTAACCTCAATGTAGGATATGACAGTATTCTTTACAAAAGCATTCCAATGAAAGGGTTGGGTTAGGTCTCTACAAAGACAAGCTTAGTTCATTAGCAAACTGGATAAAACATTTTTCTTTTTAGTTTGATTCTATTCAGTTGCAGAGGTGTTATAGGTTAAATTTCATGCACAATATATGACATCAGTTGTCATTGTGTATTGGATATAAAATGATGATTAGAGATCTTTTCTATACACTCCTGCCATCTTTGACATGGGGGGCTGGTATCTTCCTCCAGAATGGCCTATTTGTAGTATTTCTCCGGTGCTTCTGAATCAGCAGCATTCACCATTACTTGTTGGAGCCATTGTGACACTTGTATCAGCACCGAGTGTGCTTTTGTGAGGCTTGCAGATCACTGGGGGGAAACGGCCTGAATTCTGACAGACACGGTCACTGGGAAAGTCTATCTGTGACTCTCTTGTAAATGTTGAACCAAATCTTCATCAGATTTATAGGATGTGCTCTTTGAGCAGAGTCTATACTGAATGTTTGTCAAATGGAAAGCAGTATATCAAGATACTAACAGTAACAATGAGAGGCAGAGAACTGACTCTTGAAAGGAAACGGCAAAAGAAAGGATATACAGCAACAGTATGTAGAAAGAGAATAATACAGAGTTCGATACATGAATCATGGTACAGCAATGCCAGTTCAATTTCCAGAGCAAAACATTTCACCTCAATATCATTTTAAAATTACAATGGGGTACTAAAATTGACTTTTTCAAGTAACAAATGCCTGACATCATTTGTTACTGAGTTTGGTGTCAGTTGATAGAATTATGGTCATTTCATCCCACAAACCCAAAAGATGACTACAGAAGAATTGCAAAATCTGGTAAACTTTTGGCATCCCGGAGACTGAACTGGCATGGCCTCAAATGCACATGGTATGGACTTAGCTACACGTCAGTGACGAAGCTACAAAACTACAGCACAAATGTCTGGCCTGTCTTTTCCCATGACTGCATGGCTTTATGTTGTTGAAAAAACTTCGCCCAAATAGATGTTTACTTCTTGTAGAATGAACCATGGGTAAAAATCTACCTTAATGTGCACAAACTCTTTCAGTCATAATGTGTCACACATTCAACATCAAGATATACACAGTGAAAGATATATAAAAAGGGAAAAAGACCCCATCATGGGTGTTCAACAACTGCAGCTTCTACACAGTTGCTGGACACCTACTTAGATGTCAGAATATTTCGAACATAATCAAGGAAAGTAATAGTTATACCACCCAGCATTACCCATGGCAATCTTACTCCCAAAATCACTAAAGGAAATCACAAGTTCTCAAAATGTGCACAAATCATGAATGGCAAAAAATATTTCAATGGAAGCTTGCAACAGTTACTAACAATTGCTACTTCCTAGCAACACATCATCCATATCTATAAGGTGGAGCACCTACTTGTTGAGATCAGCTGTGTCCTTCTTGTTTTTGTCTGTTGGATTTTTGGCAGCCTCCGCAGGCTTGATGGAGTTAGCGTTGGTGTTGACATTAGCGTTGGCGTTAGTGTTTGTGTCCAGGGAGTTGGGCATGTAGGAATTCACGGGAGACGTCTTCCTGAGGGAGTTGCTACTCCTGACAGGGGACTCCGTGTGATTCCCGAATAATGAATGATTTCTCTGTGAAGGGAATAAAAGGTCTGGAGTGAAAGAAGGTATTACAGGTAACCATTGATGTGAAACTTCTAAAGTAGACAAGACAAGCTATAATGTGAGCTGTAGCAAAGCTCCACTGCACTTCTTGAATAGGTATCATGCTTCACCTCAGTTGAGGATGACTTCTAAAACTTTTATCATAACCTTTGCTGCTCTACATAACACCTACCCTATGAGATGGCTCTTCAGAATCGCCAATATCGATACCCTCTGCAGCTAGTTGCTCCTCTAAGTTACCCGAGATCGCACGGCGAATCTCTGGGCCAATGTCGTGAAGAGTACGAAGGCCAGCCTGGGGGTTTGCAGGAGAGAGTACGGATAGTCAGAAAAAATAACAGGAAATCAGGAAAACCAGGAATAAACAATGGAACAGTGGAAAATTCAGTTGTTGTTAGATTTAGAAACTGAAGAAATGTTCAACCTGTTTTCCATTGAGTATGTTAACCACGTGCAGTTTTATAACCTAAATCAAGCACCATATATTACAGACAAGCATAGTGTTTGAAGCTTCTTCTAAATATTCCTTGCTTACAACATTTACATCAACATGACTTTGTACTAATAAATGTCAAGTCACAAACAGAGCTTCCTCACAGACAGTACAGGTTATCTATAAGGACAGACAAGCTAAAAGTTTGAGGTAAATCCAAGAACAAGAAAAGCCACGTTACAACATCCAACACTGCCAACAGCTAGCCAGAGAGAGAAGAGGAGGCACAAACATGACAAATAGTAACCTTGTTTGAACAAATATTGAGTAACAGAGACAGAGAAACAATACACTGTCAGGTTTGATAGCTAAGGACAAATGTTTGCTGGGTATCAGGAAAGAAGAGCAGGCATTTTTGTATTGTAAAGATAAGTTTTGAAAGAAGTCCTCAGTTTCTGTATGCTGTACTAAGTCTTGTATCTGTGATAAGGGTATGGCTTTTTAGAGGTAGTAGGGGCAGTGTGTTGTTAATCCACTGGGATGGTATTGGAAGGTGAAGCCCATCTCTCTCTCCTTCCACTGCCTTTTACCTCCCAGAAGTCAGGTAGCCTTTGGCCTAAACATCAGTTCCATGAACTCTTTTGTGGGCATGTCATTAAAGTGGAGGTGGAATAGTAATGGTATGGGAAAAACAACAAAATCGGAAGATTATGGGAAATGCAAATTTGGTATGAGCATGTAATATATGTACATGTATGTGCATAAAAATGGAGGAAAAAATTCTTGAAAAAACAACCCATACCTTGAGTCTTCCAGAGTCTGAGGTTCAGTTTAGAAAATGTATGGACTGACAGAAACAGAAGAGAGATGGTGCACTTAGATAGAGACAGTATGTGACAGTGCAAGAACACAGAAAGCAACTCAACATGTAAGCAACTGAGTTGATGCCCACAAAAGGTTGGACAGACTGATACTGTTGACAGAACTCCAGGCAGATTTCCTGGCTATCCTGCTCTGTTTCTCTCATACCTTCAACTGCACGGCTTCAGTTAAGTTCATCTTTTTCACTTTGCGTACTGATTTTTCCCGGTGCAAGCCCCTTTTCCTCTCCTCCTCCTTTCTCTTTCTGAACCGTCTGAAGTAGTCTTGGATGAGGTACGTGGCGTAGAATTTGCCAACAGTTATTTCATCCTCTTCATGCAAAACAGAAACAGTCATGCAAATTAAGATGGCAGAAGATAACTCAAGCGTGCATGCACTATGGTTACTGCACCACACCAGCCTGTTAGTTGTCATGTTAGCGGAGCAACCATCACGGCATTGTACAAGTTGTGGACCTCAGTTTGGCCAACTTTCCGCTGATGGAAAATCGGGATAATCTGCATCAACATTTTTTCACCAGCACTCGAAAAAACTATTCACTTAAAAATGATAAATTCTTTTATCGAAAAAGCTCAATGCGTGACATGATGTAACCTTATAGCTAAACGTAGGTCCAGACTACACAAAGAAACTGACTTTACCAAAGGATAGGTTGAATATTTGGTAAACCCAATTTATCTGCATTTTGGACCTATAGGTAAGTTTCTTTTCAGTACTAATTTTCATGAAGTCTTGGGATGAAGACAATTTTACATCCACAAGTAAAAAAAAAATCAGTCTAACTACTAAAAACTAAGTGCATCTATTAGCCAAAGTGAGGCCCATTCTACTCCACACAATGCCGTGGGTCTTCATCTGAAACATGGAATAACAAAGGTTAGTGCTGGTCTAACTGTCGGCTGCCACCCCTCTCATACCTGCAACCTGATGGCGTCTTTATTGTACTGTTCTTCACCCTCGTCTTCCTCCTGTCGGCGCTTGAACTTGCGGAAGTAGTCTTGGATCAGGAACGTGGCATAAAACTTACCGACTGTGATCTCATCATCTTGGGAAGGGGAGAGGGAAAAGGAGTGTCATTTACTGGTTACTTAAAGTGTACTTTCAAAGCTCTATGGGGAAGCCCAATATCCATCCCATTCTAGTCAGGTCTGTTCCTCTGATTGCTTATACCTGACAAATTGTCTTTCATAGCTAGGTTTCATTCAAACGTATGGCTCTTTCATCATTTATCAGGTTAATTTAGGAATAAAACATTTTACAGAAGCATTGGAATGGGATGCAAGATCTAGACTACCTGAAAGGAAACAATCGGAGGAGAGACCAGGGCATACAGTAGGATGGACACCAGACTGCAACTCTCCCTTTTATTCAAGCAAATATGGCATGGTGAATACAATGCAATTATCTACAAAATTGTTGTGAAGATGAGGAATTTCAAAGTCATTCACTTCATCATAAAGGCCTTCAAGCTTCAAATAAAGGTAGAAAGTAGTTTTGACCGTGGAACCAATAGTTAACCATGAACCACTGTATCATAGATGACCAAGCAAGTTAGTCTAAGAGTAATTTAGTCAACTTTGAAAACTGTTGTAACCTAAAGGTAAAAGATATGATGATCAAATTATGCTGTCATGCAAATGAGGTCTAGCATAAAAGTTTGTTTCCTTGAAAAGTAAGAAAGTAAAGCTACAACAAAATCAGTAGTTACATGCACTACACAGCAGGCACAATATCATGTCATCCTGGACACCAGCCATCCTCTAACTGGAAAAAGATGAAGTCATTCACCAAATCAAAACATACTCTAAATACAAAACAAAATGTAATGATTGCAGTTTACAATTAGTTCAACCACCTGTGTGAAAAATACACTCAAAATACTTCATGCAGAAATAAACAATGGATTCCCACAAATGTATGCTGTCAAAATGCAATGTACGACAAGCAAGACAACGTGCAAAGAAACTCTAATCACCTAAGCATAACAATGTAATTGAATAAGATACAGATGACAATTACGACCGTCATGCATCTATGCAATGTTTAGTAACAGCAGAAATTTTATATGTATAGTGTTGATGTTGTATCTCTGCATGAGCCTGACACAAACAACCAACCTACCTCCAGCCGGTGGGCAGACCTGGTCCAGGACTTTTGGGTTTGTCCTCTTCCAGATCTTCTTAATGATGGCCCTGAGCTCCTCGTTTGCCTGGTCAATGTTGCCTGGTGGGAGGTGTGTAACAGTGGTGAGTATTGGCCTGCACACTCTACATACTAGAGCTGGGATACCCTCAGCTTGTATAAAAATAAACCTTCCTCCAGCGGGAGTTGTGTAACAACTTGCAGTACCATGGCTTGTACGCTTTTAGTAACATAGCTGGAATACATGTCTAGATGATAAAAATTACAGTAATTGATGGCAGTCAGATTTAGAAATAATCCAATACAGATACAGACACACAGAAATGTGCGATTTTTGTGAAAGGTGTCAGTGTCGCTTGACTGGATAGCTTTTCAGCACCAAGGAGGATAGGTCCCAACATGGAAGCTGTTCACTGCAGTTGTTGCCTTATAATGATAGGCAGAAGCTTTTAATTGATCTACAGTCTTCACACATTTTTCTACAACATTGAATCCTGTTTTGTCACGTCACCTGCACCCAGCCCTCACCTTCTGTCTTGATCTTCAGCCCAGTTCTTACCAGGGCAAACAAAGTTGCATTGAACATGACGGTGCCGTCGCTGTTCAGCGGCATGTTCATGGAGACCAGACGCTGCAGGGGGACATACACTGTTACATGTACATGTGTCCTGGGCTGGACTTAGACCTTCCTTACATCAGGCACAGGGGAAGATGGTGTTCTTGTTAACCAGAAGCTATCAATCACTATTAATCAGTTCACACAGACATGCAACATGTACAATAAAGCTATCATGCTTGCTTGGAGCTTGCAATGTGCACACAGTGAACAGAACATCATGACAGTATACATGTATTTGTTTCTTCTCTATTAAAATTGATGAAATGAAGACTATAGAAGAACAAAAGCATAATCATGATATAGAAGCCAGTTATAAAGGGATTCTCAAAAGGGACATCATATAAAGATGTAGCTGTAAGACTAAGGAGTCAATGTTGGCTCCAAACTTGATGTAGGTTCTTCTCTGGAACCACCTGTCCAATACAAGATTGCTGGCACTCCCTGAAACCACATGAGCTGGCATACTGTCCCAGAACCATTCACGTTTCTCATGTTATTAGGATAAATAAAAACTTTGACATAAGACAATTCAGTTGTTACTATTCAAATTGATAATTCCAGTGAAATGTAGACATGAAAAATGTGTTGTAAAGTCGAGTGTGAGGAAGCAACTAAAATGATCTAAACCATGCAGCCTTTTCCATCATACCTTGACACAGAGTTGAAATCAGCCTTTGCCATGCAACATCACATATCTACAATCTTTCCAATCTTAATCTCGGTCATTGTGAAAACAAAAGTATCTATTACAATCATGCCATGGCAGTCATTACAGGATATTTGCTGCCGCTATAAGGGACCCTTAAAGTCACATGCAGTACAAGCTCAGACCTCCCCTGGGTACTAGTGCCCAGAAGTGCACACAGGGTCATCTTGTCATAGGAGAGGAGCAAGGGTGGGGGAGAACTAGCACAAAACATGGTGCTGTTACTCATTGTTTATCTTGCTAAAATTCTACAAAAAATGTCCTAAAACCAAACAAATAAGTTGGAGCGGCCTTACACACAACAAAACACAAGCATCAGGTTATCATCGTCTAGTGCTCTGCCAGCAAAGATAAGGAAATAATCGGTAATGACACAACATGGACTGTTCCTATGTTAACAACAGACTTCAGACATGTAGTTAGTGGTTAGAATGGTACAGTTTGTTTGTACCATTTTGGAATGGTACAGTTGGTTTGTGTCCAAACCAAGCCATTACATTGGAGCAAACAAACAAACAAACACACACACAAACAGTGGAATGGACTGGATGGTAGTGTGGAAGTGTTAGCTGTTATGTTGTTGCACCACTGGTACCCAGGGTGGTACTGACCTTGCAAGCCACACGGTGAGGACACAGCTTGCCAAAGCCCAGTGGTGGGGAGATGCGCCTGAGCAGGGTCACCACATCCAGGTGCTTGATACGTCCCCTGGGGGGAAAAAGAAAAGAGGAGGAAATGACATTGTGCCTTGATTTTATTTGCTGAAAGGCTATTTTCCTGTTTTTGACAGAAAAAGACAGAATGCTACATACAGCATAACATCATATAAATATTGTTCAATGTCCAGGGGAAGGACCCCAGGGCCTGCTCTTTGTCACAATGAACAGAACATGAAGTAATAATAATTGTAACTCTTTCCAGCTTGAAGCACGTGAAGGGAGCCCAACCATATTCAAACAGTTATTGTTGTCAAACAACGACCTGCATTTTTCTGTATGTACAACGTATTTCATTTAATCAAGTAGACCCTACAACCTCATACTTCTGTTACATAATGCAGGATTATGCTACATCACAGCACACCAATCTAGCCCAGTCTGTTCCAGACAACCAGGAGACTCACTTAGCGTCGGGGTCATACTCTGACCAGACCCGGACAAACTCATCCAGATGATGAGGGCCCAGGATGGACCAGTCCCTGGTCAAGTAGTCAAAGTTGTCCATGATGACAGCTACGAATAGGTTGATAATCTGTAACACAAGGCAATACCATGTAGTAATGCTCTACTGCTAAAATAATAGCAGAGTTGAAAACTACATGTATAACTTAAAATCATGTTATACAAGGACAGAGACAAATGATTAACAATGAATTCAAAGTTTAGGACAGCTAGGAGGAAGATCAAGTTTTTATCAAAGAGATTATTATACAAGAGTATTCAATAGTCTTTGCAGTTCACTGATCTTAATTAATATACATGAGTATTCAATATTCTTTGCACTAGTCCTCTTGTATGTAATACATTCAATTTGTAATAAGAATAAGAGTTAGTGCATATACGGTATAGTATGTAAGATCCTGTTTACACCCAAAACGCCACGTTCATGGAGCGGAACGTTTCTGAAAACGCTAAATTTTTGTGTGTAAACCAGGCCTAAGTCAGCAATTAGGAAAAGAAAATTGGCTTATAAAGTCTAATTTTAGTTTTCACAATCACATAACTGCTCATAACTCACCAGGAAAGCACAGAGCATGTAGAAAGAAAGGAAGTAGGGGTAGGCGAAGTTGCTACCACAGACTTGACCCTTGCTGTCGGAGTTCTCATCGCACATGGCGCCCGACCCTGCGGTGCATGACATCATGATTTCCTGCCACGCCTCTCCAGTGGCCGACCTAAGGGGGGAAAGGTCAGTGGCAGAAAAAGTTAGCAGTGAATCTTGTGGGTGAGAAGATCGAAGACCATCCTCTTATCGATGAAGAGCTGGACATTTGCATTATTTCTGAGCTATACCGCTTGTGCAGAGAAAAAGGAGTGCCTCCAAACTATTGTTCCACAAACTTAGAGCGGCTAGATGTACATAGGGAAACTGCACAAAGTACTTACAACTCCAGGGTTGCACCACTTGACACTTGCACACATGGTAGTCACAAAAAACACACATTGAAAAATCTTGGACATAATTAGGACCATGACATTATGTTGATCCTACAGTACTATAATCATAGTCACACCTTACCACTTCAGGTCTATGTATGTCTACGTCCACACACAATTTCAGCATAACCACAATAATCCAGTTGCAGCAGATGTTGTTTCTCCTTTGTTGAGCTTAAAGCAGAGGCACAGCACATGGTGCAAGTCTTCTGCACCTGGTTTCCATATTCCCCACAAGGAACAAGAATATCTGCTTTCAGATTTTTCAGGTGAAAAAAACTCAAACCACCCAAATGTTTTCACAAAAAAACACTTAGTCTAAGACATTTACTAAGCATGATATTGAAAGAAGGGATAAGACTAGGACTGTTGTTTTTGTTTGGATGGATTGTTTGAACCTAAGGTGTTTTGTTTTCAGAAGCCTTTATGCATGAATTTATCAACTTTACAACTTGGGTTTCTGTTGTCATCATCAGGTCTAGTTTTGTATCATGGCCTTAGTTTGGACTGACACAAGAAAACCATTTTTTTCAAGCTACATATAGTATCATCTCAATTTTTTGATGGAGCAAAGTGTCATGTACTGAATGCCTATGTAATCTATTGTGGGTCAAAGGGTACACTTATGTTTAAGGGCTACATTTCAATTTATGGGGATTTTTTTTCATCATAAACAGCAAAAATTCTTCAAATGAGAGAGCAACAAAAACCTGAGCAATATCAATGACTTAGCGATAATTATTGATTGATTGATTGATTGATTGATTGATTGATTGATTAATTGGGTCCCTGTAGGGTAGGACCAGGAAACCAGGTGCCACACCATCTGACCTGAAGAGAACCAGCACAGCTTGGGGAAAACTCTGGAAGTTGTTGTTCCGGTGGATCGCTCCACCACCGTTCAAGTCTATCGCCCCGAAGATCTGAGGAGTAAGAGGGCATGAGAACAGCTGGTTTGATATCCAGACTGACATGTCTTGTGCACGTTACTACCTGAATAGGAGGAGCACTGCCTGGGGGAAGGTCTGGAAGTTGTTGTTCCTGTGGATGGCTGTGTCGTCGTTCAACTCTATCTTCCCAAACATCTGACAGACACAGAGGGGCACAGACAGACACAGGTTAGGCTTATAGAATCATCATGCAACAGAAGACACAACATGACAGGACCAAAAAATTGTCAGTGGCTTGTAGGCAAAAGATCTATTGGTGTACAATGTGGTCTTCTGAAGCCTTTGATATAGATCAGCAGGTTTTATGCCAACTAAATTTGCTGTGTGTGTTTTATATGTCATCTTCCAGTTCTTTGAATCTTTGGATACTGATAAATTATTGAAGAGTAAGATGGTGTTACTGAATTTAGTTAATAGAATTCTATTACTTTTCTGAGTCAATAGTAAATAGGTGGAGATCTACACCATTCTCTGAACTGTGACATACTACTAAAGTTTTCTACCAAAGGTTTCTGAACACTACCGTACAGCAATATATCTCCTGACAGCCACAAGACAATTTTTGACCCATTCTGAACAGTGAGCAGATAATTCTGACAACAATAGTAACTGTGTTGCATCACAACAGATGTAACTCCAGAAGTTTGTACAAATTATCACATTGTTTCTCCATGATAACCCAAATGAGCTCTTATTCTAATTTTAGAAAAGGCATAGCATTGTTTGTAACTCATGTATTTCAATCCCAAATAATGGTGACAGTAAACGGTAGCTGATAGTCTAGATAAAGATTTTACAGGTAAGAAACAATTCCAAATTGACATTTATTTCCAAAAATAGATTTCTGCATTTTGTTTCAAGCAATGTAATTGATACAAAGAGTGCTTAAGCCTCTTTAATTAATTTACCCCCATGATTTGTCAGTAAAAGTCAAGTAAACATCTCTTATGATCCAACCAGGTCCTATTGTCTTCAGGATGTCTCATGCTTTGCTCAACAACAATTGTTATCTAGCAGCTTGAACTTGGTCAGTATTGACATAGGGACACATGGGTACAGCTAGGGTACATTCACATCAAAGCAATATAGATTTGACACAGCAGAAATGTCTCTAACTATTCTGCACTTATCATATAGTCGTATAGCATTGATATCATGAATGAAGGCCAACTGAAACAATTTTTAGATGCTCTTTTGAGTTATTTCTGTCCATAAAGTCGTGGTATAGAGTAATTAGTAATGGACAGGGACAGACAGAGAGGGCTAGACATTGATGTTCCAGGCATTAGAACAGGAATGATGTGGGAGGACAGATATTGGAACAGAGCAGGACAGCTAGATCAACAGAATCCAACGCTATTCTACATCTTAATACTAGTAGTTAGTTCATGTACCTTCATCTCCACAGCAGGTGAAAATACATGCATGTCTGTGCTTCATAGATTTTTTTTATGTGCTACTTACAAAATTTTAAACTAGTTTGTGATTCTTACAACAAATGAGAATGAAATTTGTAAATTGCAATTTGTGAATAAGGAACACTACTAGTATTCAAGCTGAATTGCCTTTATCTTTATCTACACTACTGTTGCATTTTGCTCAGACCACTAAAACGAGATACGAGAGTTCATGAAGATTGTCAGTCAATATAAGTGGCATGAAAAAAAGATTTTGAACTGAAGAAATTATTTAGCTGCAAGTTTGTTTCTTTTCAAAATGTTCGAAGATAGCTATAATAGTGCTGTAATTTGTCTTAGAAGAGGTGCTGAGATGAAGGTTTTAATGTTGTTAGTGTGGATGGATGTGAGTTTCTAAGACAAGATGAACGAGAAGAGAAAGAGGAGACTACACACCGCAGCCACAGAATAGTCTCTTCACCGAGTTTCTCTACAAAACCCTACTACAATAGTGGAATATTGAATCGAGGAAAATGTACAGGGAACAGAGGGCTGGATAATGCTGACGGTATTTGTGATATGTTTAAAAGGGGTAACTACAGGTACAAAGTAAGGAAGATGTACGTTAAACGTGAACCTAGTTAATTATTACAAATTCAAGTGTGATATTGTCACCAGCATTCAAAGTTTATCAAACAGTTAAGACATGCATTTTTTACAACATCAGTAAGGAGGTTTATTATTGATGTTTAAAGTACTTGCATATTGATCAAACAGACTATCACTGCTGGAAGTTGGCATCATGAATCATATGTTAACCACTTGATATACATAAATATGAGCCACAAAGAAATGCAGAAAATGTGGGAAAATCGCACAATTCTTTGTAAAAAAAAAAGGAAACAGCTATCATACAAAACTAGTCTCCTTTAAACATTATTCACGCATGACTTTACGAATTCGCAATTTAAGTTGTTTGTGTGTACTGACTTACCTGCATACCAACCACAGCATAAATGAAGAACAGCATAAGGATGAGTAAGGCAACATATGGCAAGGCCTGGGGAAAAAACACAGTTGAAAATTTAGTTTTTTTTTAATTCTTTCATGTATTTATTGCAGATTCACACATACTGACACTGAGTGACTGGAGAGAGCCCATATGAAACAAAGGTAAGTAACAATTCATAACATAACTTGATAAAAGTAAACTTATGGAGATTCCTATGCTTTTATTGATGAATCAGGAAGCACCCTGACTTAGAGAGCTATGTGAAATGTTGGTTTTTGTCCTATTTTCTCTTGATACCACTTTTGCACAACATCCTGTCTTTCAGCACCAAGGAGGGCAACCATGTATTTCAATGGATGTCATTTCAGCACCAGGAGTCAGTGACATTCTTTAGTTTTTTAGTCCCTGGAGGTGCAGAGGTCATACCTGGAAGGACTTGATGAAGGTCCAAAGCAGGGTGCGGATCCCCTCGCCTCGGCTCAGCAGTTTGATCAACCTCATGACTCGGAAAAGTCGGAAGAAGTTTATGCTGGGCACCTCGGCTCCAGGCTGGGGGAAAAAGAAGAGGGAGAGACTCAAAATACATCCCAACGAACACTGGGAAAACAATGCACATTAGGGTCATATTTTTATCAGTATCTTATTTGCTATTATCAATGACAAGTCAAGTATTATCACTCATAAGTTAATATTGACATCTGTCAATGAAGAAATTTTCTCCCTATTCCTATATTTTCATTTCTTTTCACTCTGTATGACTCACTATAGGTTATTCAAAATTCTCCAGTTCTTTTATTTGCTGGATGGTCCACTGATGCATCCTGTACTGATACAGTTATTCACTCATTTTAAAGACACAAACTCATCTACACAATGTCAGTTGTACCAAAGTTCATCAGCTAGGGAAGAATACACTTATTGACAGGGAAACTGCAAGCACAGGTACACAGCAAATGTAATGTATCTACCTGAAGTAGAGCTGACACCAAGATATCAACTATGCTGCCCAAAACAATGATGAAGTCAAAGGAGTTCCACGCATCGGCAAAATAGTTCTGTTGTTCCCAGAAGGCATTGGTGGATAGATACATGTAGCATAGTAAGTATATTGGCAGCGACATGACATTAGCATTTTGCTTGGTAACCATCTCACACAGTGTTAACTTCCATCTAGGGAAAAGACTTACGTTCAATCCAGAATAGCACTTATAACATCAAGTCTCATAATTCTGCCAGGCACCCTGAGATTGCCACATTAAAAATAATGAATCTAAAGAGATCTACTAGTGTAGCCTCAGTAATCCCTGATGTGTGCACACTTTGGGTATCCATGTACCCAACGACATTCTTTCAGAAGGCCCTGATAGCACTGTTTTGCACTGTTTTTAATATGGTGTTCTTAGGGCATCTTGCAGAATTAACATTGAGAGTTGACTTTAAGCCTGTTAAAAGAGGGGAAAGCATTGAAAGATAGTAGTGCTTTAGAGGTCAAATTTCTTAAGTCCTGAGGTTGAACAGAGGAATGGAACACTGTAGAAGATGGTGTACCGTCACACAAGCGCTGAAGGTGGGTGGGAGGGGGGCATACTTACGTTCATTTGAGACACAATGATATCAACAAGACTTCCGACAACGATGAGGAAATCGAACGTATTCCACGCATCTTTGAAATAATACTGAAAGAAACGAACATTATTCAACAAAAGGTTTCAACAGAAAGCACTTTCTTCTCACAAAGGGAGACATAACAACATAACATTGAACGACAAATAATGAAAACTGATAAAAGCACTGTTTTCTCAAAAATCAACAGCATACATGCAACATAATCTTTCCAACCACAAAAAAAGATTGAAACCAAGTCAAGTACTGAACACATCTTTGAATTAAATCAATTATCAGTATGGGTATAGTAGTCAAAGAAACATGATCAAGAACTAGAATCAAAGAAAGGAAAAAAAGCGTGACCACTTCCACCCACCTTCGGTCCAAATCCAATCAACTTCAACATGGCTTCAAGGGTGAACAATGCCGTAAAAATCAAGTTCATGAAATCCAACGCATATTCGTAGGTTTCTGACTGGCCATAATGCTACAGATGATGAAAAAAAAGAATGGTAAAGAAATTAAATGCCAGGTGTTTGTGACAAGCTTCTGTTATATCATGGAGGGCTGACCTATGGAAAAGGTATTCATAGTTTAAATCAGAAAGGATCTTGACTTATGGACCAATCTCAGCAATAAAAGAATGATGGTAAGTGCCTGGCTCAGATTTCATTCTTTGACAACATGAAACATGGCCATAGATTTCCATAGATCAACCCTTAGGCCATGGTAGGGCATTGACTTCTCGACTATTACTCACCTTGGGTTTATATGCCAGAATTTTCAATATACATTCAATAGTAAACACAGTGGTGAAGAAATAGTTCAGGTAGTCCATGGCTTCGCTATATTCATCTGGTTGTCCATGGAACTGGCAGCATTAACAGGTGAATATGTTAGCTCAACATGAACAGAGCACACAGTCAATTATCAGCACAAGTCTAGGTCTTTCTACACTGCTAATGGAAAACCCATTACATTTTGTTCATTTTTTCATGTAGAATGAATGAAATATGATACACAGAATCTGATAACTGCAACATTTCATTGATACAAATGCTTAACATTCATGAACACCACGTACAAGCTTGTTAAAAATCTTTGCAGTAATACCGTAACAGCATTTCAATGTATTTTTCAAGTGAATAATTAAGGACTCACCTTCATTGCTAAGGAGACAGTGTTGAGCATGATGAGAATAAACATGGTGTACTCAAACGTCTGGGAGTTCACCACGTACCAGAATTTGTACTGTATGGGGTTCTTTGGCACATACCGCCGCAGTGGCTTGGCTTTCAGTGCAAATTCTATGCACTGACGCTGCAGAGGGTAAACAAGACAAAGTTACGATCATCCTATCCAACATGTAAAAAGAGTGCAGCCCATCTAAAAATCCATCCATCTATCCATCCAATCTTTCATTCAGTTTCCTACCTGGTTTTTGTCTAGTTCACATTCGTCTCCATATTCTTTTTCTCCCTCGTTCTGGAAGGTCACGATAACAAAGCCAACGAAGATGTTGACCATGAAGAAAGCAATGATGATGATGTACACAAAGAAGAAGATGGCCACAGCTGGCCGGTAGTTGTAGATGGGGCCCATATCCTCCGCACGGGAGTCAATGGCCACATACAAAAGACTGAAAAAATTATATAAGTGATGTTGAGTTCCTCCTGATACATGACTTTCAGCAACAAGGACAGCAACCATGCATTTCAATGGACGTCATTTCAGCACTTGCGGATGACCTTGATTTGGGGATGACTTGGGTGCTACTAACACAAGAGACAAGATAATCATCTTCATCATTTTGTCTCTTGAGGGTATGCTATTTTTGTTTCACAAAACATCAGTTGATTACCATGTTCTTACTTCACAATTCTCCTTACAAGTGTTGTCATTTCTTCAAAATCACCTGTTGCTTCATGTAATCATGTTGGATATTTACATGGCTAGGTTAGTGTTACTTGGTACTGTACTCACTTGGGCCACCCTTCAAAGGTGGATACTGTAAACAAGGAAAGCATCGCCTGCCCAACGTCATCAAAGTTGAAGACGTTCACGTCCCACTCCCGCTCCTTCTGCTCGGCGTTCTCCACGTTGCCGTCGATATAAACGATATAGTAGCCCCTGGAGCAGTGTACAAGCAGGCATGGACAGTTAGGACACTACCAGCACCACTACCAGTGCTGACCACATGCACTATTCAAGGGCATGCAATCACAGGCTCTTGGCAATGGTGTACTTACCTTCTTTTTTCCTCTTTTTAAAGTCTATTTGAGGCTATATCAATTCATTTTCTTGGTTCTCTGATGTTTTTTGAGGCAAATATGCAGCAAGAGGTAAAATGAAAATGGAACACTGGGTGGGCCACTCGAATCTGACTACATCCAATCCCTGAAACTGTGTGTACAAAGGCATAGACTTTTCTGTCTCACTCAGTGTTGATTTTCCAGTTTAGCAGTAAATCGAGAACCAACAAATTAAATTGAGATTTAGCAACAACCATGCTCCAGATACTAACAAGGCTCCAGATGTCAGAGATCATTACTTTCTCCCCATTATGTTTTTTTACGTATGGAAAAGAAAAAGATGGAAAAGTGTTCCTCGCAGTTGAGTGAAGTGCTTACAGGAACACTTTGATAACAGTGAGCTGTTTCACCACCACCACCACCACTAAGATATGGATACTGCGGTAAGAATTGGCCAGTAAAAAGTGGATGGACATTTGGAACATTCCCCTCTGCACCTGTGATGTCCACCTTTAGTTGGACAATCTCAGAACAGGTGGGTTGGAGCTTTTCAACCTGAAAAAATCTTCCATCCAAAGAGTACATTTTAGCAATTCTAATTGTTTTAGTAGATTTTCCAGTTACATCTGTTGAAGGAACATTATGGACTACTTTCTTGTACTGTATGCAAGAGATACCCACATGAATTGATAGTACTGTACTTATTTCCCCTACAGACAAATTAAATACTTCCTGAGCATCATATATAACAATTACAGAATGCAAAAGAAAAAATCCTCTCAGAATTGAAGCATCTGATGTAGAAAGAAAACAGGAAGAAGATAGAGGTAGTGAAGATGTTTAGGTGTTTGGTCATTTAGGGGAAACGTTTTACATGACGTGTAGTTGAGTAAATTAGAGACGGAAAAGAATTACACTATTAGCTCTCATGATGAATTAAAGACTTTAGAGATGTTAAGTTATGGTATAAATATCTACTACTGAAACAGTTATGTAACGTTACATATTTAGTTAATAAGTAATTATCCTTTTGAGCTGTCCTTTTTGATCTCCAAAGCCTAATCTTACGACCGTATGCCCTGTAAAACTACCTTGAAAAATTATCCTGCTTGAGGGTTTCAATTGGAAAATTCAAAGGGCAGCTGAATCTTACTTGCTGATCAAAGAATATGGGTCTATTGTAAGTGACATCTTTCAATTTCAAAAGTAGTCACAGACCTGACAGAATGTAGGCTATAGAACAACAACATTTTCAATAAGCCAATGATGAAAGATGGCATAAAAAGGACTTATTAATTGTCATTGCCAAAGTTGTAATCACAGTTTTTCTACATTAATGAGATGCAATGTATCAATGGTACACTGCCCATTGATATTCTACTAGCCTCTGCATTTTTGACAGAAAATATAAAATGTCCAAAATATGGAAAGAGTGTAAAGTATTCTAAATCTACATGTACAATGTGCACAATTGTACAATGCAATTCTACTATTAAGTTACAGGAATCGACAAACATTTTAAAGTCACACATGTAAAGACTTAGTATCTCTCTACCATATCTACATAATTTCAAATGCAATAAATTGCACGAGATATATAGTTACACTACTCATCTAATAATTATCTCAGTCCGCATTTTGTGACAAAAGGTGAAAAATTTACAGGGCATCGAAGTTTTGGTGATGTTGCTGTAAAATTAAAGAAAGTCGTGAGAAAAATTAGAAAAATCGATGAAGATAGTGTCCCAGGCGATGAGGTGCTAATAAAATATAGGATGGAATGAAGAATAAGGGCTGTTCCAGTTAGCATAACCGATGGCAGACAGAGAACAGAAGACAGGACAGAGAGATGGAAGGGTCGAAGGTCAGGTCATAGGTCAGGTCAAGGTCAGAAAGTGATGGAGAGAGGATGAGAAGAACAACAGAGAAGTGACATGAATGAGCAGAGAGAGGGTAGATGGAGCAAAGGTGCTTGGCTGAAGCTAAAAGCTCAAGCTTCTGTTAATGTGTTATGACACACCGTGGTACACCGTAACAAAAAATCAAACCGGTGGTACGTCAAAGGTGGTGGGAAAAAATCATGCAAGTTTAACACTATAGGTACTGTTACTATATGAACTGGTTAGTTAACTGGTAACACTTTGCTACACTACATTACTACATAGAATTGGGATACTATGATATCACTACTTGGATCAATGAAAACTGCATGAAAAAAGGAAAGCACAGTGTCTGTTTGGAAGATCTCTGATTAGCAGATGTGTCTTGAATGCGGCTGAAAACATCAGCACCGCACAAGATTAGAGTTGAAAGTTGCAAATTAGAGTCTGTGAAGTATTATTTGTTAGGAAACACTTGGACAGACTGGATGGAAATGGTGATGTACTCTCACATTCATTTTGTGAAAGATGTGATGTTTTTCCCCAGCGCAACATGAGGCATTTTGCACATGGTCAATGACACTGTGAGCATGACAACTGGGCAATGTTCTTGTCAATCCAAGCCTTGACAAGCCTACATTCCTTGCAATATGGATTCACACTTGTTACAAACACACAGTACAGTGAGTTGGACTGTGTCACGTCATATGGAACTGGCTTTCCTCATCTGCAGTGTTTCATGTCTCCTATAAGGAAGACACACACACAGTAACAGCAACAAAGAACACAGATTCAAAGCACACGGGGAACAAAAACATGAGATCCACACGAACAGTCACACGGAAGTAAACAGGAAATGAGATAGTGGGAGGTGTAGTCTCTACAGAGTGCGATGGAGATGAGGATGGACAATCATAAGGGGGACAGTCTAGAAGCATCAGATGGTATAGGTAACGAGAGGGTACGTATGCAAAAAGGATAACGTGATATACAAGACAAAGTAAACTTGCACATGTCCATACAAGTATGCTAAGTGGAACACCCCTGGCAGTGCTGCCAGGTGCCTGTTGCACATGGGTGGGAAGAAAGGTAGCCCGCACCCACATGCTGTACTTACGCCAAAAGGCACCAAGAACTTACTTGCACTCGGCAGCAGTCTTTTTGGATTCATCATTACATTGAAAAAATGTACCCTGCAGGGAAGAGGGGGGAGGAAGAATCAGAAGTGGCAGTCACTTACTTGCAGACGTCTTCAGTCATTTTAGACAGATCATTGCAATATTGAAACTTGCCCTGTATGGGAATGGGTAAAATTGGATACAAAGTGAAGTGACAGGGGGAGGGGAAACAAAGGGTGGAGAAATAGAAAACAGCAAACAATGTTGTTGTCTGTGTTACAATCAGTTGTTGCCAGGATGCTTCAGGCAGACCAAGATTGTCTTTTAAAGTCCAGTGCTTAGTAACCCTGAGTCTAGGCAACTAGGTTGAAGTTTGAATCCTGGCTGTTGTTGCTCTCACCCTACATATGCTACTGCAAACCGTTGAAGCCCTTAGGACAGGACATTAGGCAGTGGTTCACTGTTGAACATGTTAAAAAGAGCTAGGGGAATTTCCCTGATACAAACAGTACCGGTACATACTGGTAGAGCCTTCTCTGTCACAACCAGAGGAAAATTAGCTCTTCAGTGAACTGGATCAAGGTCACTTTTTTAGACATTCAGACACTAACAGATTTCTTAAAATCCTTGATTTTCATAGTCTAGATTTGATGACCTCTGATACTGCTGGTATTAAAATTCAAAAGCTCATTGAGGCACTTCCTGGGTGGGGCAATTCTCATGAAATTCAATTTTCTTTGACATATGTATAATAAAGGACTTGGCTTGTTCAGGGGGCAAGATAGCTGGAGAAAACTTGTTCTGGTTGAGGCATCCTGGCCAACAGTTGTAATGAATCAACCACTCATTCTGCTAAAAGAAAGCAATATGCACTCCATGTCATTAACCAGCCACCATGCTTCTAAATCAGGTAATTTTACATTTTAATCGATTCTACAAGGTCAAATAGCATTCCACCTAAACAAAAAAATATCCAAAACTCTATTTGCATGCTTTTCTGAACTAAAAAAGAAATGTGCAAGTAACTCAGATCAAAAGGTACAAATGTCTTAGCCAGATCTGATCACATTTTGCATTCCTTTTCTGTTGATTACAAAAACATTCTCAAATTATCTAGACATGCTAACAATACGTAGAGGTAATTAACTTGTAGAAGTGCCAGTGATAGCTGCAGGTCTTGCCGACCCACAGCACAAAACTTGTAAAGCAGTCCACGACAAACAGTGTGCACGACAATCAGGCGTTAGTTACATCCGAAAACAAATGGCATGCTATGAAACAAAGAGGGCAAACGAGGCGGTATGCCATGACAGTCGTCGACAGCCCAGCTGCAGAAATAAGAGTGTGGACCATTCCGTGCTATGGGTACATGCTGATGCAATGTGTCACCACAGAACACGGCGATGGTTTGCCCCCTAGTTTCCTAGGATGCGCTGAGTTAGACATTCACAGTGAGAAGTATGTTGGGTTGGTGTTATTTGCTGGTGTGGAAAAAAAGAGGACGGGGGGAGGACAGGGACAGCACAACAAGGCATTGACACTTCACTCACAAATGGCATTGCTACCAGAGTTTCCTTTCCACTCACCACAGTTCACTTACCATCCTTCAGTCTTTCAGAGACTTTGATTCAAGCAAAAACTTTTCTCCTTTAACATTGAGATAAACTGAATGAAAATTCACGAAAAAAGTGTCAAAGTAACCTTAGTAAATGAATAATATTACCTCCTTGGAATTTGCATTTAGTGAGTGATAGCTATTGATGAATATCATATCTTAGATGACAATTGCCATATAAAAAATTGAATTGTGCCTTACTTTGAGCAACATGAAAGATGGCCACACATTCTATGTCATCCCTAATCATGCTCAAAAACTTTCCAATTGGCCAAACTAGTTGAATTGAGCTGGCTTTCTTATTTTCTTATTCAGAATCAATGCATGACAGGATGATAATACAAGGTATGAAGACCTTGTGTGCAAAAGCACTTTTATCACAACATTTTCAGTGACTGAAGTCATTTCTCATTGAGTAGTCAAGAAGATTAAAAGATGGTAGGGAATTCAAAGTAGTAAGTAGAAAGGAGACACGGATCCTTTTCTGCCACACATCAGTAACAACAAGCAGCACAAGGAGACATGGTGAAACACTTTACAATGGTGGTCCATTCAGTAAGTGCCTTGTTTTAGTGGGAGGTCTGAGCTAGGAAGGGTGGCCATGCATTCTTCGGCCTGCCAGTTCACCAAAAACCTCTTAGAACTATCTCATGCTGGTTTCTTGATATTAACCATATCAAGCATTTGACAAGTCAACACACAAGGACAGATGCATGGTCTTTTCTCACAAACATTTGCTGATGTTTGTGCCAAAAGGCATAAGAGTTTAAATGAAGTAAACAATTTGTAAACCTAGGGGTGTATGGTGCAGCTGCTAGCAACCTTGTTTCTGCACTAGAAGTTCAAGTACAGGCTTATTCACAAGACCTGTATTTTACCAAAATAGGTAAAGTCAAGCTGTGGTCTGTACTGCTATGTGTACTTGTGAGAAAGGAGTTTTCTTGATGTACAAAGCATCTGTCCTTCTTGTCACGACCAGTGGAGAATTAGTTCAGTAAGCCAAACGAGGTTGGGATATGTTTTCTGTTTCATCTTTGGGGGGAGGGGCAGGGTCAAACCATACAGGACTTTCTCCAGGTTTAGAAAGACAAAATTAGATGGGAATTTGGATGCTCAATGTTGATGATTTTCATTTACTATCATTAGTTCAATCTGTCATTTTAATCTTACAAAAATATATCTTGTCATGTCATAAGATTCAGATTTTTTGGACAGACAAGGTGAAATTTCTGTCCGTCCTGACAAAGCAATTTCTGTCCCGGGAGAGATGGGTCCTGGAGACAGCCCTGGTCAAACGATGTCCTTGCACTTACTAGACAGACTCCACATTAATGTGACAGCATTGGCAGTTAAAAAGTGGACTGTTGTGGGAGGGAATCCACAACCGGCTAGTACTGCATGCAGCCACATCGTTACCTTGAAGAGTTGGACACCGATGACTGCAAAGATGAATTGTAGGAGGAAGGTGACCAGCATGATATTCCCGATAGATTTGATGGCAACAAACACGCATTGGACGACATGCTGCAGAGAAAGAAAACAAGGAGGAAAAAATTGTCAACATGTCATTGATAGATCTATGCCATTGCTATATCCTATCATCATGTCACAGAGACATAGGTGTCAGGTTCTGCTCATCTACATATTCAGTTTGACTCCCTCAAAGTTTCTGCACAGACACCATACGACACCTTGGCATTACTTGGAAACAAAGATATGCTCAGAGACAGCTGGGTCAACCATTACCAAGTGAACAATGTTATCATGTTGGGATAAGATAATGAAAATCAATAAGTAGGATATGAGGGGATTTCGCTGTTCACCTCATCTATAACTTAATTCGTCCCATAGCTCAACATTGCTAAATTGTCTGGGCCACATGCCTGAAGTCATGGTCTCAACAGGATACACTGACCCAAATCTCTCTTTGAACATGAGCTAAGCTCTGGATAGGAAAATAGGTCTTGGAAGAAAAGTACATGATGATACTCTTTAAGCCAGCACCATATAGAATTGAGTCAATGAGTCACTCTGTATAATGGACATCGTTAACTAAAACAATTGACAATTACATTTTCGGTCCAATAAATGACACTTCAAATGAATCACAATATCCCAAGAGTATAACAAACACTGTTAGCCAGATGACCCAGTCTATGTGGAATCAGAAAGATTTAAAGGAGACATACTTTCAGTCCTTTGGCTCGATTAATTGCTCGTAGGGGTCGAAGGACCCTCAGTACCCTGAGGATCTTAACCACTGATACTCCTCCTTTCCTGTGGGCAAAAAACAAATCTTCAAATCAAATTTATTTCTAGTAATACTGGTACTGTAAGTCATTTTACTCTTAACTCCATGTAAGGCTCACTTGCGGCATGAAATAACACAGTCATACAGTACAAAGTTTCCAATGATGCTTAAAATGCATAGAAGTTCCTGTACAGGCATTTTCTCTGGGTTAACAAGTCACAAACTTCTTATAAAGTTGAACATGCACCTATGTGCTTGCCAACTTTGAAAGGTATTCATACAGAGCAGACAACGTCCACATCTGTATGGCATCTTTACTGTGATATTTAAGACATACATGTAATAATGTCTGGATTAGGATTTTTATCTAAAATCAAGAAAGACTAACTTACGGGAACGCAATAGAAATGAGGGACACGGAGACAACCAGCAAATCCAATAGGTTGAAGGCACTGCGGCAGAATGACCCCGGATGCATGATGAACCCAAACACTATCACCTGCAGACGGACACACAAGACAGTTAGAAACAGATTCCTTCATTCATCCTGCACCTGAATGCCTATCTTATACAATCCATATAACCAGGAATATTATAACTGTCCATAAAGTTGTTTTGTTTCGCAACTAAAAACATTATGGGGGTTGCTAATTTCTCCATACTTTACCATACATGACTTGTGAATAATCATGGTAGCTTGTTTTGTACATGCAAATTACTTCAGAGACTTAAAATCCATTGGGCTTTCACTATGCAACCTTTACAGTTGTGGTAATTGGAAGTAATAAGGGTATTGAAAATCCAGTGATGTGAAGATAGGATTATATACTAAAAGGATATATTTATAGTACAGTGCACCAGTGAGCTTTAAATAGATTGCACAAAGGACTCTGGAATAGAAGAGATTGAAACTGTCATCAGTTAGTACGGTAAGAGTTCCATGCTCTTCCTGCTTACCTTGCTTTAACGCTTACCTTAAGTAAAATTTCAACTGTGAATGCAGTTGTGAAAACATAGTCCATATATCTCAGATGCTGCAAGACAGGGGAGAGAGAAAACAAAAAAGGGGGGTATTGAACTCGTTACCTCGAACACTGACAAACAATGGAAAGCTTACCTTCAGTATAATTTCAATTGTAAATGCAGAGGTGAAGACATAGTCCATATATCCAAGAATCTGTGATGGCATAGGAAGGACGGTACAGATGTTAGTGGACAGCTGATGAGAAGAGTCTGGCAGAAGGCTTCTTCTTCCAGTAGGCGATGAGTCGGAATGATTGTTTAAATGTGGTCAGACGTCGTCTGTGCCTTGTTAACCAGTGTGATCTAGTATGAGGTCTCGTTAGCATAGGCAAACATACATGATACAGCAGTGATGTTACATTAAACAGGGCTCGGAATACATGTACTGGGGGCATGTGTACATGCACTTTTCATCTAGATATTTGTGTAGGGTTAAGTATAAGTGTACTACGAAAAGGTACTATTAACTATACAACTTATTCTTGACATTTATGTCAGAAAAATAATAGAAACTTTGATGCATTGCTTATGTTGTGCACCTCAATCTTTCTCAAGACATCTAAATTTTCTAAATTTAGGTGCAACTATTCCCAAATGAATTTGGAGCCCTGTCAAAAATTAACAAGCACCATGGTGGGTTCATTAGAGCAATCATGTACAGCAGCTAGTTAAGTACAGCTGTACTAGTCCAGCCCCATGTGCATTAACTGGCATGATGGATGCATTACTTAGTATGAACTGGAATGAAACAACCTTCATGAATATAATGAAGGTGAAGGTTGAATTCGGAGACAACAAAATGAAATGTTTAAAATTCAACATTCTGAAGCCTTCTGAAACATGTCTTGAATTGGTAACTCAAAACTACTTGAAACAGATTTTTGACAAAAATGACAACGGCTGGATTTCAAACTCTTTCTAGCTGCTAAGAAACATTCTGAATCTCCTGTGAAACTCTGAATTTGCCAGAAAAGGCCATTTGCCAAAAAGGACACTTTGTATTATCTAGTACTGTACATTATGATCCATGAAAAGATAGCATTATCATATTTTGATCAAAGACATAATTCTGTTGAACATAAGCTATCTCAGGTATCAATTCTATGATCTAACTCAAAGTCTGTAAAACAGAACTTCTCTCAAATCCTTTCATATAGTACAGGCCATTTCTGATTGGTATCTCATGCTTGCAGTGCAAGTAAATTCTGTTCTGATTTTTTTACAACCAACACTTAAGATTGAGTATTCAAACAATGAATGGACTTTGAAGTCATGCATTATTGGGTTGCCTAAAGATTGTGGACTCGGTTCAATTAATATGGGTTGCAGCTTAGCAGTGATAGTGTTTGTAACAGGCAGTAGCACAACATTATATTCAAGGCAGCTGATTTTGAGCAGTTAAGAAGTCTGACATAGCATTCCTGCTAGACTGGTGTCTTTAGATGATTTTTCGGTGGGGCACTTTCAACTGTGTCTAGGGTGTCCAATATATGAAAACTTCCAAATATATACCATATGCTATAAAAGAATGTTTTTCGATAGTTTTGGGTCTAAATTTACAAATTACAAATTTGAAGCACTCCCTAGATTTCTTGCATCTTTAGCACTCCCTACTTTGCTCCCCACCCTCCCCAATGACCACCCTGTGCAGTGGTGTCTGCAGGAATGCTAGTCTGAAGGGTTTATGCCGTACTATGTTCCTGGGAGACTCGGCCCGTAGCGGATCCTCTGCAGCCAGCGCAGCACTGCTGATCAGGATAAGGGCCAGGATCAGGTTGGTAAACACGGGATGGGTAATTATCCTGTGGCATATCTTCCTCAATCTGGCGAGTAAAATGGAAGAATCACTCATTAAATCATCTAACACTATGTTAAGTACATGACATTGTTTAAAAGTGATGCCAACTGTTCTTGAACTCCATGACATGACTATCATTACACAAATGGTGCCTTGTTTCACAATGACTCATCATCATCAAAACTACAATGCAAGAAATGTTCCTTGAATAAATTTTGTAACTCTCCACATGCACAGTCTAGAATCGATTGAGATGTCTGTATGTGAATACACAAAACATAGTAGGTTTCCCTCCAGTTTGTACTTACAAGTTGGTTGGACTAAAGATGAAGAAGGCCGAATATTCAGGGATCGGAAGTTTCTCGTCTGGGATATACACTTCGGACATACGGCGCGGTCGGGCGCCTACTGGGGTGGGTTTCAAACCCTCTTCGTCGTCGTCATCCTCCTCTGCAACGTCAAGAAGAAGACGATTAAGTTAAGGTTAAGACAACAATGTACCTCTAAGCTGAACTTTTTTATTGGAACGAATATGTACTGTTTTCTGAATTTACAGTAACTGTAGTAGTCATTGAAAGAATCATGAATGTATGAATGCAGTGAATACTAAGACAGATTCTAACAATTTGAAAGAAGAATTTACAGTAGTGTGGTTGCAACAGCAAAAAGTTTTAGGACACAAAAGTTAGTTTGTTAACAAAACAGGAGGAAGCAAATCATCATTAGTACCAGAGGTGTCAAGTAGCTGGAATAGTGAATTTAAATATATTCATGGTTAGTATTCACATTCATGTCCTATGAATAAAGACAACTAGTGTTGTTAGAGCTTTCAACTTGGAGAGTGGTAAAAGAGTAGCAAATTAAAGCTTTCCGGTAGAGTTAGTATGTCCCCATTAGTACATTGTACATCATTGCTGTGGCTGTTCACATCCAGACCTACCGTCCCAGTAGTCCGATCCCTCATCTTTTTGTGGGTAGCAATCATGAGAAAGTACTTGTGAGTTATCTTTGAAAACTTGCAAAGTACATGGCTCAACATGCATACACTCATTTCTAAGAGAGTAACTGATGTAGTCATGTTTTCTGCAGTCTACTTTATTATTTCCAAGGGCATATTTTTCTGATATAGAATTATCTGATGGTTAAGTGTTGTGCATATCTATTCAAGCTACATTCTGAAAACTCTTGGTGTAAGGGTCTCTGGTCTGTAGCTCCAACTCAGTTTGCTGATCTCCTACAGGACCTACCATCCCAGGGTAACCCTGCAGCTGCTGCCTCATCAGACAGTTCCTCTCCTTCAGGACACACAGATAAACAAAGGACACCAACAGAAGGTGAATGAAAGAAAGTCAAACAGAAGCTACAAAATCAACACAACACAATACTTGGCAGGAGGAAGCAACATGATAGGAAATCCACCATTATGTAAAGAAAGAGCAGAACAAAAAAACGGGAAATAATCTATTGCTTCAAATATGTGTTCACAGTATTTGTCAGTCACAGAAGTTCACAGTACAGTAGCTTGTGTATTGGAAATTGAAGAGCAGGATTCTAGTGTTGCATCTCCTAACCCAGGGGTACTTCGAGGCTGAACCTTCTGGTATGTGGGTTTTTGAGTCAGTAATAATCAGTCATCATCGACTGCGATGACATCATCAAATCCAGATTTCCTGAAAGTCTGGATCTATGTCTAACAAACCCTCTAGTCTCCTTGAAGAAATCATCAGAAAACAAGGCAAGCAGTCTTAACAATGAAATGCGATCTTTACCTCCGCCTTCTCCAGCGGCTTTATCTTTTTCTTCGTCTTCTGCTTCTTCGTCAATATCCGTCTGAGTGGTATCAGTCACATCTATTTTTACCTGGAACAAACACAAACATACAGTCATGGTCTGAATCATTGAATTCTGAAGTCTAATGCATAACACAGCAGCTGAACCACTAGTCAACTGGAAGGGTTGTTAAAAGCTTTTACACCATTTTCTAAGGAGAGCCACCTAATCCTTGGGCAAGGTTGAAAAGACACCATAGTGACTTTATAACTTTTAAACTGATTGGACTTGAGGCAGTTAACATATTCAAATATCTGGAAATGACTACTGCACCTAAAAATTTCTTGAGTTCATTCTCTTCTGTTGGAGAGCAGATTAATTTTTTTCTGTAATGTTACAGGCATTTTGTACAGGCACATTGAGAAATGGTTACCTTGGTGTGACTGGAAGCACTCTCCGGTGAGATGGGTCGCATCTCCATGGATTCCTGTGACCTGCTGAGGAATGGAGCAATGAGGACAAGACCGGAAAATGTTAGTATGGGTTAGTACCATTAGTAGCATTGAATACACCATAATGATTAGTAACATTAGTACAGGTTAGAAAAATATTACTTGTCATAGTAATAAGTTTGCACGTGTTCTAGCTAGGAGATTTCAACCAGTGACTAGTGATCTCTGTCTTTGTGAGACTGAAAACACATATTCCAGTAATGACCCTTCTCACGACCATAAGTTTGAATTTCTGCTATAGTTGCTCACCAACATGCTTAATACCAGGAGGCTTACAATCAAAACCAGTAAATATTGTCTCTCCTACCATCATTCTCATATTCATAACTGAATGTTATCCTTGGGAAGGTATGTTAAGTTACAAAACCTTGTGGTACAGGTAAAACAGTTAAAACACAATTGTTGGGTACTAACGACATTGTCCTACTACTCACTCTCATTTCAGCACCAAGGACAAGACCCATCAATTTCGAATTTCATGAATTGTGAAGTTATTATTCAAATTAAAGCAAGGAGAATTTACCTGACAGTGTATATACTGTACACGTAGCATGCCCTTTTTGCTGCAACCCATGGACTACTAGCTTTGCTACTGGTAGATTCTAGAACAAGTAATGTCCCCATCTCCTCTCTGTTCTAGCAGTCACATGCTGCCTTACCCTTTAGGTTTTCCACCTCCTGTGTGGTTCATCTTGGGGCTTCCTTCTGCAGGCTTCTCCTCCGCTGAAGACAGAGCCTTCAGCTCCTCCTCTTTCTTGGCCTCTTTCTCTGCCTCGGCCGCCTCCTCAGCCTCAGTCAAGGCATCAGCATCAGCCAGGTTGTCCACCGCAATGGCCAAGAACACGTTCAGGAGGATGACTGGTGGAACAAGCGTTAAGGAAGCAAAATACACTCTATAACAGTACATATTACTGATATCTACCTCAAGACATAAAATGAAAATAGATCTACTTGACATAAGCAAAAGTTTGCTATGTGAAGAAAGTGCAATGGCATTGCACATTTCAGTAGGCCAATATGTGTTTTTTCTTGATTTCCCCATATTAAAACTGATGCCGGAAGATCCTATGAAGGAATGAATTTAGTCTACAAATGACATGTTCTGACTGTTGCAGTTCAATGTTGCTGACTGTGTACTTCAGCTTTTGCTTTGCTTGCTACAAAACGTACATATATTCTAATCAATCCAACTTTACAAGACAGGCAGACTGAAGATGTTTTCTTTAACCGATGATATCCCTCTGCATCTTGTGGTAGAGTTGGAGGAACAACAAAAGAAGGATACAGTTGCCACAGATGAACAGGATGATGAAATAGAAGCAGGCCAGGATTCCAATCTGACTGACCCCACCGTACGACTGGATACCGGTGTACATTACTTCGTTCCAGTCCTCTCCTGTTAGGATCTGTGGATTCAAAAAGGAAGTTATTAGTAAAATTACTGGGAAAAACAGCAAAATTTTCAAAAAAGCTTGTGTGAATACTGTCTACTAAGTAATTTACTCTTATCAAAATGGTTCAATGTTGTATCATCTAGATAAACAACTGTACCAACAATGTAGTTGTTAACCTTCTTCCTACTGAAGAAGCCCTTTACCACCAGCTTTGTAACCGTTACAGGGTTATGCAGTAGGGTAAGGGTTAAACAAAACAATGACCAACGCCATTCTCACCTGGAATACAGTCAGCAGGGATTGCCAGAAAGTGTCAAAGTTACTACGATCTTTCTGCTGGGTGTCGTCGAAGTTGAATTTTCCTCCGAAGATCTGCATCCCCAGCAGTGCAAAGATGAGTATAAACAGAAAGAGTAGAAGCAGCAGGCTGGCAATGGAGCGGATCGAGTTTAGCAGTGATGCAACCAAGTTGCTCAGCGCACGCCAGTATCTGGAAAAGACAAGATGGACCCAGTTGAGATTAAAGTCTTAAAGTATGGATGTTGCTTCTAGTTCCTCATTCATTCATTCATTCATTCAGTTCCTTCTTCAGATACAGAGCACTGTTGTTTCATTATAAATTTATGCTCTTTCAACTGACAAATCATAATATATGGTTTAAGTTAAATTTCTAGATTTCCAGTGCCTTTTCAAATCTTAACTGACCAGCGTCTACAATTAATTGTTCAACTGTAAGTGTATAATAATATTGTGTAATATATCTTGGTAGTCATTCGTCGCCGAAGATGACTGTCGGTGTGCTCAATCACGAGGGATAAGACCTCATATGGCTTGTAATGTATAACTAGATTCAATTTTACTATTTGAGAACATACATATCAGTTCTTGAAATACATGTAATTGGTGGTGTGTGAGACATAAGCAATAAAGACAGTACTTACTTTGTCACTTTGAAGACTCTTAGAAGTCTGACGCACCGAAGCACACTGACTCCGAGTGGCTGGATGACCCCTGTCTCCGTCAGGATGATCTCGATGATGCTGCTGATCACCACAAAGCAGTCAAAGCGGTTGAAGAGGGAGACCTGGTAGGCTTGCCATCCCAGGGCATACATCTTCACCACCATCTCCAGGGAGAACAGGGACACAAAGAACAAGTTGGAGATTTCTGGAAAAACAAGGGAGAGAATTGGACATGGGTTAATCGTTATCACACTTTGCCTTTTATGAAACACAAACATCATTCAACAAGACTTTCCTACATGATTTTAACTTGTTGATGTTGAGAATATCATGAAACAGTGAATGCAATACCTGGAACCATAAAACAAAACAGAAGAAAAACTGCCGGGCACCATCACCTAAACTTCAGCACCAAGGACAGATGTTGCCGGCTCTTTCTTTTTTTGAATTTCATGCATTGTGAGGTGATTATGCCTAATGAATGTCATTATCAATTTCATTGTTTTGGCTGACACACAGTAAATGTTAGCCTGCAAGTTTGGCCAATGCCTCCTCAGAAGGTTTGCAACCATTACAAGAGGTGAATAACTAGAGAACAACAGCTGCTGAGCCAGGATTCGAACCCAACCTAATGGTCTAGAAGCACAATCCCTTATCAGTAAAACTCCATACTTTATGAAGTAATGACTTACTCTGTACTTCTTCCAGCCAGGGAGGTTGTCTGTAATGTTCGGACGCCAGTGTGCAGGTGTTGAGGAACACCATCACAATCACGAACCAGTAGAACACTGTGGTTTTCACTGCTGCTCGTAGTTGCCGCCGAATTAGCCTGTTTGTTCTCCTCCACCGTCGTCTGGGGAGAAAAACATCAGGAGTCCAGTGAGTACAATAAAAAATATGTACTCCATAGGATAAGTACAATAAAAGATATGTACTCCATAGGATTCTGTGTTAAAGGGCATTTGCATAACTAATAATCTGACATAATCATTGGTAAGTGCTGTACATATAGGAACATAAGACCCAGAGGAAGGTCACTGAAGGGTTACCAAAACCTTGGCTAGCTAAACCTCATTTACATGATTGAAGAACATCATTTTCCTTATAATCTATTTGCTGATGATATAAAAAATAGACAATATAAAAATGCTCGAGGCACAACTGTACCTTAATCAAAATACAACATAAGATGTCAGTGAGATAGCATTGTTTGTTAGGAAGATTTATCAGGACAGTGAAACAGGCATGCTTCAACAGCCAGCATTTAAAAGGTGGCAAACGAAAATCTCCAGCCAAATTTAGTGCAAGAGTCAGCCACTGTATAGCTAGACAGCCATCAGGTAGAATAAGCACAGCTATAAAACATCAGCAGCCTGCACACTGTGCCGGATATATTGAGATCACACTCAGTTATCTAAATGATTTGAAAAGGAGGCATCTCCTGAGCCATACTCACAAACAATTCGTCGGACCAGCACTATCTCAGCGAAAAAGAAACAGCAAGGAGCATGCAGCCACAGCAGAACGTAAAGGCAAATATGGAGAAAAAAAAATGAACAAAGCAAAAAGCAACATAAGGGTGCATGTCACAAAGGCAAATAATACAATAAAAAATTTAATCAACACACTAAGCTTATACTCATGAGAGCCTTTCTTGAGACAAAGATATCTTCACTAAAAATTTAAGGAACAGTCTGCATCATATACTATGTAAAGTATTCAGAAATGACTTTCTCTATGAATAAATATTTGATTTGTGACTTTTTTGACCATTGACCTAAACATGTATGTTTTGAATGATAACCCTTTTCCACACAGTCGATATTGCCTGTATCTATATTTGATAACATTTATTTCATTTACCAAACCATGCATCAATCCATGGACCATATATCAATGCAGCCAGTGCAATACATAAATGACTCCAGGCCAATTCTTTATCCCAAAATTCATAAAAGTGAGCCATCTGTTGCAGTAGAATAGCCTTTCAAATTAAAGTGGGTGCTTTTATGGTTCCACCATCACCATTTGCTAAGTGATACATGATGGTAACCGGAACTCTTTGTTTTAGTAATAACAGGAAATGTTGACAGAGGTTTCACAGAAAAATGACCAAATGCAGTCCAAAAAAAATTGTAGAAGAACATGATTAAGATTAATGCAAATTCACACAAAAATGCCTAAAATTTCAGTATAGGGCCACTAAATGTTGCTATGGGCCAATGAAACTGCAATTGATGTCAATTCGGGCCTCTCGTGAACATTAATAGTTTTGAGTGCCCCTCAGATGCCTACGTTTTCTAACAGTCTAAATGACCATCATATCAACTGCAGCAGGGTCTTCTGTTGGTCTACACCATATGGAAGATGGGCAGACCATTACATGTACAGTCCCTTAGGGAACATGCAGGTATACATTTTAATGACAGTCAGTCTCTTCTTTAGTCAATAGACTGCAGCTTGGGTTAGCAAAAAGTTTGGATAATTCTTTGAACTCAGTTGAAGGAAAGATATTATAGTTTCTTTATTTTGCAGTCAGTATTCTACAACCAAATGTTGTTAAAATTCCTGTTTCATCCTTTCCAAGAATTTTGATTTTTTAAAATGATATAACATGGAAGTCTCAGGATAAAAATAAAGTTATGCAAGTTTATGACACGGGGTTGACAAAATTTCAAAGCAATTCTAGGAATTTAAAATGTAAGAGTGAGGGTGCACAGCAGTCAATGCAAAGTTATTGCAGTTGACACTCTGCAAGTTAAGGTCAGCAGAACTTCAGGAATTTGAACTTTCTTCCAGGAAAGGACAATCATAGCAGACAATACGCTACACAACCTGAGGTCATGAAACTTTCAATGATTCTTGGAAATTTGCCTTTTTTCCATTAACATAGCCTTAAGGGTCTTGGGCTGAACACAGATAAGTCTTTCTCTGCAACCTGGATACTGCTACAATTCTAGAAACCATAATAACTTGTGCAAGGCTTGTTTTAACCTTGGCAGCTTTCATGGTGCCCAGCATGGGCACCGAGCCAACCGGAAATAAGACCTGAGCTTGTGGCAGGCTTTCATGATATAAAGTCAATCTTGTGCCCTGTCACTACGCATCACCATCATCCTAACCTTACTGCACTTTCTGCAGATAAAGTGTTTATCAATCTGCGGCGGGGGTGAGCAGATTATCCGTGTCAGAGCGCTGTACTCACTTGTGCCTTGCCCACCCGGAAGGCTCTGCACCGATGGGGCCTTCGCCGGCTTCCAGCGCTTCTGAAGCTGAGCCAGCATCACTGGCTTTCTCCTCTGCAGCAGAACAAGAGAAGAGAATGTGCATTACTTAACCTTCTCCCTGCTGCCTAACCCAAACCAACAGAGACTTGGTAGCCAAATGGCAACTTCAGTGTGCTAAAGGTTGTGTAATAATACAAACAATTGTATCACATTTGTAGTTGTCTATACTCAATGCGATTATTCTGATCTGAAAGAAAGTATTGATTATAGAGAAATCTTAATTTCACATTTTAAGTAGCTTAAGCTTACACACTGTAAAATAAGATATGAGTTATATAGTGTAGCCATTATATAGCATGGTCTTTGCTGCCATGATGAGACTTTATATTTGCTGACCATCACCATTTTCACCTTACTAATGCATCTGTACTAAACTAGTCCTTACCACCAGTATTTACACTGTGTAAGAAAAAGCAGCAAGTTCACCTCATTATGTCCTTCCTATCACCCTTAATGTTATACAATGTAAAGTTAGTATTTTCCGCCATTATATTTACCTTTACATATGTATGCCATTGGTAAGACGGGCATCTCTACATACTATTTTAAACAGCAGAATGGCACTAAAAGTACATTACATGAATCTACTGACTAAAAAGCTCCCAAAAGGAAGGCAGACTAGTCACCACAGTTATATCTAGAGAAGTACAACCATACTATAGTCAGGTCTCTCTGCATTAGAATTCCAACATGTGTATTTGATATCAAATACCAGGAAGTGCTACTACATGTACATCTAAATTTAATATATATCAGTGCTTATAAGCCATATGTATTTGCTAGTTTGTGATTTTGGCCACCAGCATCTTATAATTACTGGCAGTGAGTACCGGCAGTGAAAATTTCTTTTCTAGTTCACCTCCGATACAAAATCATACCTTTATTTTCTCCATTTTCCCCAGAATTCTGAAGGCTTTCCTTTGATTTTGAGTTTTTGCATTTTTTTCTCTGATGCTTTCCCATCTACTTTTTTATCCCCAGTAACAGCTTTCTTCGAACCTTCTTCACCAACTTTTCCTCCCATGGAAGCAATAAAAAAAGCAACTAAAAAAATCCAATGTTATTATCAATATTTCAATCATCTGAAAAACTGTTGGTAAAATTCAATGCCATTAATTTGTACTATAATTCCTAGTGTGAGCATTTACATGTAAGTACTGAGTTGGTGAAAAATTATCATAATGTAATACTATTAATACTGAATCTAGGGTTAGCCTATCTTATGTTGGACAATACTGGTGCAACTCTGGAGGAATGATCTTTCTACAAATTGCTCAAGTTTGCTTTTATTAGTTTTTGCAGATGGCCTAAAGTTATGTGAAAGTGCCACTGAAAGTATTGAAATCAAACTTATCAGTGATAAGTAACAAGTTTTGTGTATTTTAGTTTAATTCAAAGTAACACTTTAATAACCCTAATCGACATTAATCTTGAATGTGATTTGAAAAATAGAAGAGGGGAAAGCAAAGACGACCAAGAGGAAGAAGGTAGGAACACTTGATAACTTTGAGAGAAAGAAAGGAAATAAAGGGAAAGCGGTACGTACGTCCACGAAAGAGGGCTATTCCTGCATGTCAGACACGTGATGGGGAGGGGTGGCGGGTTGTCAGATCATGAATGAGAAGAAACACAGAAGGATGAAAAATTAAAAGGGAATATTAAAAACATTGGAACAACAGAAGAAATGTAGAAGTAAATGCAATAAAGAATTCGAAATGGATTGTAAATAAGGTCACTTGTCAAAACAGGACAGGACATGCATTAATTAAAGATACTTACATTGGAATAAATTAATGCAGATTACTGCATATTTTGGTATATTGCCAAGGCTGATTTAGCTTAAAGTGGCATCACTCCAAATTATCAAACCAGCAAGCACAATTCAGTACAGCCCTTGGTTAAAGCAAGTTTAATAATACATACAAATTATTTCATATTGATGTGGATGAAACACCTATTCATGTATGTGTTAACTGAAACTGTAAGAGATAGAAACCTGATAGCACAAAGGAAACATGCATGTTCTGTATGTAAAAAGATACCAAAAGAAGCAACTGTTAATATGGTTGTCTTGATTAAAACCTTGTTAACTTGTTATAGAAGCAAAATGTGATTAGATGAGTTAAGAAAACTGCTGGCACTCAACAAGTCTGAATTACTCTTCATTTTGCATCACAACTTTGCATCACAACTTCCCCATGCTGGTCTGCAATTAGAAAGTCAAGTAAGTTAATATAGATTGTATATTGTTTTCTGAAAAGTGTGCAATGAACACTAATATGGCTTGTTAAAGAAGTTCAAGGAAGTCATTTTACCCGGTATGAATTTTCCCTTTAGTTCAATAATTTTGGGAATCATTGCTATACATTTTGGCCACTAAAACTGCAATGGATATCTTTCACCTCTGCATGCTGAACAGATCAAATGCTTTAAACAAGCACTGACCACTCTAGCTGTTATTGCTTTGTTATTGTCAGTGTCATAATCACTGTTACTGTCTTGATTGTTAAAGTCCTGAAGACAGACAAGATTTGGGGGTTAGGACAATACACAGCCACAACTTGGAACGCTGACATTATGGATGGCCTGAAATGACATCATGCACACACAAAAGCTACTACAATGCAGTCCATGTCTTATTTCCCTTTCAAGCCATCAGAGTCTAGTAAGCATCTCTTGGACAAGGAGAAGTTACCAATGGTCTCCTCTATTCCAGATATGCTTACAAACCTTTTCCCTTTCTTAGGAATGGCAAGGTCTTGGCAATGCGCTTATGGTGGGCTGAAATGAAACAAAAGTAGAACGTAATACAACATGGTACTAGGAATAAGTTAGGTCAAACTAAAGACACTCAGTTATACACTGATGCATATCAGTGTCCCCTGTTTTATATACAAATCAGGTGATCTATGTGAGGTAACACAAAAACTGTTGAGGACCTGATCATTGGCATTGCATTTTTTGAATTTCCATTTTGATATGAAAATGAAAAATGAAGACCTGGTGTGGTGGTAGGAAATACTTGAATTTAACCATATTAACTCCCTAGAATATTATGAACATGTACCAAGGTACAGACTTTCACCTAGTAGTAGTTCGTTTATATTTACCATTATTTTTTTCAACCCATGGGCATACTAATACTTTTGGTTTGCACTGTTTACAACATAAGTCAGCAGGAAGAGGGTTAATGTCCTTTAGCTATTCTGTCATTACGTACACTTGACAACTACATTGTGCATCTTCAATTCACAGTGACACATGTACAGTAACACTGGCGCCACCAGGAATGGTCACATGCATTAGTTACATTTGTAACTGCTCTGTCACCATCACTTAACTTTACTGTCACACATAAAAGTTGCAATATCAAAGCAATATCAAGATTTCGAAAATCATGCACTAGCAGTCATCTCTATTTTGATCAAGAAAGTTTTTGTTTTGTTTAAACAGAAACTTGTACATCAAAAGTACATAATACTGGGCAGATGCTGACAGTTGAATATTACGTACAGGGCAAAGTACATGGGTTTCTTTGGGCCATTCAAGACTCCATGGCATAAAAGCAGGCATTTTATGACTTTGTCTATCAGCAGTTTCTACCACTGTGATACGTAGCTTAAAATGCGCTGTATATTGTACCTAATAACTCATACATTAACCACTGGTTATTGCATTAATCATGCCCATCTGATCTTAGATAACACAGTTCAACAAGATTAGCCAATTTTTGTCTATGATGCAAAAGCTGAAAATCAATATAAAACATTTAAGTCAACCAACTGCATGCCTACAAAGCAATAGCCTGCACTGTTTCAAGCTGACTCAACACCAGACATGAATGAGTTAAATGCCAGTTCTATACATGTACAGGTAAATGGCAAGCTTAACATTTAGTTCAAATTATACATCAGAGAACAACTAGCAGCAATACATTCAACAAAGTACTGTTCATGTCATTGAGGTTGTGTGTGAACAACCCTGGACAAAACAGAACGTTTCCAGCTGGCCCCTGTTTGCCTGCTCCAAAATAGTCATCATTAAGTCCTCCGCGTATACTCAGCCTCAGTTCTACTTCATTGAGCTATTATTTTGTGATACCCAAGTCAAGAGGACCAACACATCAGGAAAATCCCTGGATGTCTCCTAGGGTGTGTCAGCCAAGCAGAACATTATGCTGGATACAGATAACTTACTTTTCTACATATCTGCACACTTTTGACACATAATTGGTTGGAAAATTCAATCAGGCCTGCAATGGCACATCAAAGGTATTCATTCATCCATTCTTTCATGCACTTTTATCTATTTAACGAGTATAGATAACCCTTAGGTTCATGACCTGCTTAAGGTGTCCATAGATACATAAAAAGACGTTCCTGAACAAAATACAGTTGTCTTAGCACAGACACAAGAAACATAACAAAGTACATTGTACATGGAGGTATACATTCAAGTTTCAGAACTAATGGTCTAGAACTCTCCTGCCAGCTACAGAGAGACAGTAATAGACATGTACTCACGCATGGATTTTTCTTCTTCCCGGCCTCGGCCCTCATCGAGATCCTCTGTGGAACAGAATCACAACTATTCATTAAAGCAACGTCTGATACCAAACGCAGGAGATTCCACTGATTACCCAAATGTACTGAGGTATGACAGACAGCAAAACTGCAAACACTGCAATCTTAACATAGTATGGTAATCAGAATAACAATGAAAAGTTAACTTTATAAGTAGCTCGAGTCAAGACATAACTTTTATCATTGATATGTATTTTTGCTGGTAATCTACAGACCAAGACCATTGCTGGCTATGAAGTCATTGCATCATGATTCACTTTCTTACCCAGTCACCACAAACACATTCCAATGAAAAATCACTGTGACAGTCATGCATGCTAATTTTCTCATTCCTGAGGGAAAGAATTGACAGAAACAACAGGAACAGGACAACCAAAAGACGAGCAAATCATTGCGGAGCAAAACAGTGCCATGGCATAGCTGAGTGATGACTGACAGCAACAATATTCCAGTTCAACTGCTCAGATGTTAAAGATCTAAAAAGCTAAGTGAATTTGTGCAAAAAATAGGTACAAAATAACTTTGAAGAAAATGGGGTCAGTTTTGCCATTCATATTTTTCAAAAGGATGTAGGTTTGAGATAGGGAGTGGTGAATACATGTACAAGTAGAAACACTCCTGCAGGTACTAGCTGTGGAAAGTAAACCCTTCAAACTTATCCTGTCCTCCAGCTAACCCCTTTCCCATGCATATCAAAACACAGCTATATTTAGGTGAGCTGTGATATGCCTTGCCTGCAGAAGGAATAACATATAGAATGTAACACAAGGTCTTCACTGGCTGCTAACGTTTGTGAAAGTCTGCCAATAACAGGATAACATGCATTTGTCACAATCCAATCAAAGCTTACTCCATAGTATATGAAGCGTCTTAATTCATTTGAGCTGCTTCAAGTCTGAAGTCTATACTTAGCTGCGGAGAGTTCAACAATGAGCTGAGAGATGGGCTGTCTGAGCAGTGAACAGGAATACTGTGCGGTACATGTGTGGTTTACCAAACAAGTGTAAGTTTTGAGAAACGAGCACAGATGGATGGTGACAACCTAAAACAAAAAAATCTGCAAGCTAACAGAGAGAACAGGGATTTTTGCAACACAAGTTCTCACAAAAATGTCCAGAATAAAAGGCAAGAAAAATGAAGATTTCCATCCAGCAGAATCAATGATAAGGATCAAAAGGAGTACAAGTGGCTGAGCAACCAAAAAGGTACTGCATGTCAGCAGACTGGAAGGGAGGGGGGGGAGGTATATGTGAAACAAATTTGAATATCTAATGCTTATACCTGCAGTAGTAATCCATTCCAGGTATCCTTTCATGGCTTCTTCTATTTGCTGTTTTTCTCTAAGTTTTTGGAACTCCCCTCTGGACTGTATCTTTTCTCTCTCTTTGGAAAACTCACTACATAGTGACAGAAGACAAAACAACGGATGATATATTATTACGGAGGACAGACAACAGCACGTGAGACAACATGTGAGACGTGACAGCAAGGCTAGGGACGATGTCGCTGTAGAGGCGGTAGTCGACAGCCCTACTCCTAGGACACGGGCAGGACAGCGCACATGTTGACACACAGCAGCCGCTGACGGACAGTCACACATGGGCACACCGGTACCTGCGTGGTAGATCCACTCCAAATAGCCATGCAGGTCGTCCTCCATCTGCTGCTTCTCCCTAAGCTTTTGGAACTCACCCCTGGATCTCGCCTTTTCTCTCTCCTTAGAAAACTCTCTAGGTAATGGGAAATACAGCTCGTACCAACGTACTAACACACAGTCACATCACAAGTATAGGATATAAGGATAGCTATGGGAGAACTAAACTTTAACTTTTTTGTCAATGTTTTTTCATCAGTCTATGCATGCAAGCTGTGAATTTCAAAGTAAAACGCTTTTTCACTATTATGGATCTATCAAAGTCATGACATTATTGCATACACCAAACTTACCCATCTGTAGCAATTGTTTACATAATTGCTCTTGCTACAACAATATTGGAGCAACCATACTACTAGTATATAATGAAATTGTCTAGTTCACAACTTGCATGTTTTTCTGTTTTATGTTTGTTATATGTGAAAAAGAGAATACACTACTATAGTGACCAAGAAAGAAACTTATAAAAGTTGTAATGTATTTCAACCTTTCCTTGGTGTCTTCGTTACCAGCTACTACACCTAACAGAAGACAATGTCATGTAGTTTATTGAAACACGCAGACTCACCCACTCAGTACACCTAAGACTAAGTTCAGCACGAAGAAGGAGCCGACGATGATGAGAGTAATGAAGTATATCCACGGCCACTCATTTCCGACCGCATCGTTCACCTGGGGAAAATCCAGACAAACTTCTTTCAATTCTGACAGATGGTAAATGCTACATTATAACCACAGGCCTTATTATATAAGAATCATCTAAAAAGTAAAGGTCTCCTTCAACTCATATATTATGCGTAAAAAATACTGTCTATGATGTTGAAAGACTCTCAAGTTGTCATACCCATCACCCTATGGTGCTTTAAGTTCACAAAAAAAGTACACTTGTCCTGTCCTTGGTGCTGAATGCCATGTTGACCTGTATCTTTGCTTTCCGTTGCTTGAAGTCAGACTTACCCGACCTGACTAAATCATGCTGCTAGCAGCCCTTCCACTCATCAGTTCCCTAGAAGGCCTACACCTCTAAATCAGGAGAAATGGGAACATCTTAATCTTGTTGATTTATGTATTTGTGCTGATTTTAACCGATTATTGTCAGACTGACAAATATCTGTTGCCATCATTTTGGAGACTTCCAGGTGCATTAGGAGATTTCCATATAGTGATAACAGAGCTCCTATTCTACAGTGATAAAGAATGCTCACCTCCTATTGGTCTCCTGGCTAAGAGGTGAATGGTTAGACAGTGAAAGATTATGTAACACAAGCTAGAACTTACCCAGTACAAGACAGTTGTCCAGCCCTCCATGGTCATGCATTGGAAGACTGTCAACATGGCCAGTCCAAAGTTATCAAAGTTGGTGATGCCACTGTTCGGTCCCTCCCAGTACCCCCTACATATGGACACGTTGACTGGACAATGATAGCCACTGGAACCAAAGTCGGGTTGACACGGAGGGGGTCCATCATGGAAATAAATTTGGTCTGGAAAAGGACAAAGAAACACAAGGTAAGGTTTGCCCATCTACTGATTGCTTTGACTACAATTTTCTTGGGCTAACATCTGCAATAAACAGTATAGATGTACTAGTCTTGCAAAAACATGTGTAACACACTGAGACTGATCAAATCCTACATGTACATGTCATGTAAATATTAACAGGACAGAAGCTGAGTCAATGTTCATGACCACACTTACCTGAGCCTGGGACAAAGCATGTTGTGTGCAGTTTCCCTGAGAAGAGTTCTAGGCCGATGATTGCGTAGATGATGATTACAAACAAACATAGCAGGGCGATGTGCAACAGCGGAACCAGGGCTTTCAGGATTGAATTCAACACTACTTGTAAACCTGAAACACCAAGTCAAAACCTGTCAGCAAAAAGAGATGTCCTTTTTCTCATACAAGACATCCTTATCGAAGTTGTAATCTATGTTTTAGCAAGGATAACTTACATGACCCAATTATCAAATAATAACTTACTGAGTAGTGTTAAAATTTACTTAACAAATAAACATTTAACAAGTACATCAGTGTTAACAATGACATGCACTTTCCAGGAAGAGGAAGACCTCAAGAAGTTAGAAAGTGATACACCTTTGATAAATTGACTACAGCAATGATTTCTTCAAACTTACTTGGGACACCAGAGACAAGCCTTAGAGGCCTCAAAACTCGGAATGCTCTTAGAGCTTTGACATCGAAGCCTTCGAACTTATAAGTTTCCAACACTATACTGACAATGCTGTGGGAAAAGAGAACAACAATATTTAGTACGAAGTGCAGAAAATGTAACATTTAACCATGCCTGCCCAACAATATACTCCCCATCCCAAATATAACCAGTATAAGGACATTCTATTTCTACTTGAAGTTTTAGCCCAGCATGTCACTGTCATAAGTTTTGAAGTCAAGAGTTTTGAAGATGACTAGATTTAGTAATAACTATTGAGCACAGAATTTCGGTTTCTGCTGAAGTCCTATCCTAGTTCTAATCTTAAATTTATGTGGGAATTTTATGGAAATCTCAAAATGTTCCCAGCAGGTGATCTTTGCTAAGGTGACATGCAAAGATACTTATTGGAAAATATCTTGCCCACAACATTCAGAGCTGAGTCAAAAGGATTTTTGCCATTTTTTCTTATCAATGATACCACTGTACAGATCAGGTACGGTAGAATTAAATGTGGATTTCTCAACAAATGTTGCAATTTTTAACATCATGGCAAATGTTAACAAACATGTACAAGGTCAATCCAATTCGCAATACAAAATTCTGCCCACACTTGATAAAAATCCTGCTGACTCACTCTTCAACAGAACATTGCAAACAACATTACTGTTCTATTACTGCTGCCATGCATAATATACAATAATTCCTGCTTTCTGGGCAACAAACCTACAAAACTTCTGGAGTTGTCTATAGCATACTGCTGCGTACTTTGTATACAGAAATCATTTGTTTGCAGTTTAGTAGCCACAAAACAACAACACAGCACACCACCACCAAAGAGCTTAGTGCTACAGGTTCATCTCAATGGAGCAACCCACAAGAACATCACGAGCTCAACCACACAAGAGGTGCACGAACACAATCAAAACAGAAGGAAAGGAAGAACTGTAACAGAAAGGAGCAGACAACTGGAAAGCATCTCTTTGAATACCATTTTGATGGTGATTTGGATGATGATTCTTTCTAGAACAGAAACATGCATGAAGGAGACATGTCAGGGGATCAACGTCGAGGTATGAAACAGAGAAAAGGGGTGTTGAAAAGTTGAGAGGGATGGAGGACAAATGATATCACAGAGAGACGCTTTCTCCTTCTCCAAACGCATGCACCACAACCAAATGTACAACATAAAACTCACACCAAAATAAAAAGAAAGTAATCACTTACCCTATTATGACAATTGTAAAATCTAAAATGTTCCAGAAGTTTCGTAAATATGCACCGTTGTGTGCAATTAAACCATAGGCTATTATCTTAAAGACTGCCTCCAACGTGAATATGACTAGGAAGAGATATTCCACTGTTTCCTACAGGAAAGAAAAAGAAAAAGAGCAACAAAACATTAAGTTAAGAACAGTGCAGGGGTGGTTGTATGGTGAGAACTTAGTGATATGATAACCCGTACCTGGGAGAGTCCGTAAGCTACACTTACCCTATAATAACAATCATACAATCTAAAAAGTTCCATGTGTTTCTCAAGTAAGCACCAGGATGACATATTACACCATATGCAATGAGTTTCATTGCTGCTTCTGCTGTGAAAATGACAAGGAAGCCATATTCCACGGTTTCCTGGATGGCAGAGAGGAAGAAGAAGACATTTAGCAATCAGTTGAATGACGAAACATTTTGCGAGGGGTGACACATGAGAGGGCAGCAGGGGGAAATGGCCAGACTGAAGTGAAGAAAAGGGGAGGTTTTCTCACTCTGGAGAGGCGAGGTGGTTAGAGTGGTTAGTGACCTTACCTGGAAGGAAAAGGGAAGAGGAGTAAATCAAGTCCAACAGTAAGTCTGACTGACGTCTAGAACAACAGCATGCAAAGCAATCCTTACACCCTAAAGTTTAGCTTGTAATGTCCATAAGGATGTAAAATATTAGTTGTGCAAAACATAAAACAGTACCCTAAACCTCTCTCTGGTCATTCCTACAAAAGCTGACTCCATCATAGCATTGCCAAAAAGCATATCACAAAAAAAAGTTTCTATTACAGTCATTTTGTTGAATTTTCTGTCTGTCGATTGGAAAATGCTTCTTCAAGGACTCAGAAATCAAAGAGTACAGCTTTTGCAGGTGATCACAGAAAGTTGTGGGGTCATATATTGTCATGCCTGTGCTAGTAACACATATCATAGATCAGTCAGGTGCAACAAGTCCAATATCTGTGTGTTAAACAACTCAAGGTTTGCTACTTGGTAAAGTACTGTATATGTCCTGTTCAGGATCCATGCATGTGAGGTTAGTTTTTAGTCACAGCTTGAGTACTCTTACATAAAGACAAACAGCTATAAAACACATGATTGTACATAGGGAAGACAGGTCTGTGCATGTACAAGTGCAAGTAGATGAACAAGTGTTGAAGGAAACAGTACAATGTCATGCAGGATATCAGGACACATAATAATCATAGATGTAAACACACAGTATATATTGCAATAATTATTATATTTACTGCTTCTTTTGCATTATGCATATGTTCACAAATAGAGTATGATTACAGCTCTTATATCGTATCAATGCATACATTATCATTCCATATCAGTGTACTGGACATGCACACAGGTAAATAAGAATGAGACATGTTGCTCAGACAAAGATATACCATTTTTACTTTGCTCTTTTCCTCTTATCTTCATGTGCATGGTTGTTGGTTTTAATAATGTTATCACAATGCATCATCATTGCATACAAAATAAAGAACATCAGATTTACAAAACAAAATAAAATAAAACCAACTCTGCTGTAACACATCAGCTCACGCCAGCTGCTGACTGTTTGGTTAAACTTTTGATCATGTCTGGTCAACCTGACGGGTGGGACATTAATGATTAATGAGTCTCAAACAACCTGCTTTCCTTCCCCGAGGACAAGTTTTCCCACATGACCACTCTTCGTCCCGAGGGTAAGACAATATGGTTAAGGACTGGAACGTTTTGACCCGGCCTGAAGCAAAAGGGTAGAAAGTGATTCACGCCCAGCCACTGGAACAGACTCCTGCTGAGATACATGTAAAAACATCAGGGCACTTGTTTACACCACTCTTGTGTGATCTATTTTGACAAGTTCAACTTCTTCATGATCAACTACTGCCAAGCTCAGGTACTACAGGGAAATGTGAACATTTGGGACTTTAGGGATGACCTTGTCCTTCTTATTTCTAACACTCGGAATTCAGCAGCAAAACCTATTCAATTAGAGATTATAAGGACCAATAGAAACCTGTAGCAGTCAAAAATTATCTACTTTACAATTCGGCCAACCAGTGAAACTTATCATGAACTGGTAGCAACAGTAAAGAATTCTGTTTTGTTGTAACTTGTTTTCCATTAGGCTTAGTCCACATATACTCAGAATTCAGCACCAAGGACAGACCCTGTCAAATTTCTATAAGATAATTGTGCTCAATTCACATTATTCTACAACTATACAAATGTTCTTAGCAGTTCACCTGACATGAAGATAAGGCTGCCCAACTAGCCAAAGGCTAAAACAAGGGGCTTCACCAAAGCAGCTTTAAGCTAGCTTGAACTTAAGGTGCAGAAAGCCCACTGAGCTGAGAAATCTTCTATATAACGTTTCATGTATGTAGCAAAGTCAGACGGATAAATTGTTGCCACTTCCCCAGAAGGCCCCAGCTGGTCTGATAGAGCATTCACAGACAATGACAACAAAACGCAGAGGAATACCAGAACCCCCACCACATCTGCCGTCTACCATCGCTAACGTAATCTTAATACCTGCGATGCAGCATTGCAAATGAGATCTCGTATAGCCATCTAAAACAGTGGGAGTCAGATGTGTGCAGTTCATCTGACTGTTACATCTACATGTGAAGGCACCAATTTCCCCTGACAGTGGTGCTTCAACACAGCTACATTCATCAGACAGTCCTTATCCCCGACTGTTTCCTCTAATGTATGTCATAAGTATGTTATTAATGTGCGAATCATTAACATCTATTGTATGGATGGACTGATAACTCTTTAATTCTTCACATTAAGTACTTGATGTCAAAGTCAGATTCACAGACTCAATGTCAATGTCGTAATTCTTGGTTTTTTGATTGCTCTACTCTGTCAAAGGCAGAGGCCACTGATAATGAGGTGCATGTGAAGCTGTTGAAACAAGAAAAAACAACCTAAAAGATTTATGTGTGCAAGGTCAAGGCTACATTTTCATTTTTAAAAAGATTTTAACAGCTGGATAGTTGCCAAGAGGCCTGACTTGCAAAACATACATAAAGCTGAGTCTGCCCTCTCACTGTAAATTAGTATGTACGGTTTCTGTAGCTAACCTCCTGGGCTCTTCTTACTCTCATGGTTCAAGGACAGGTTATTTGGTAACAGTAAAATGCCAGCAAAATGAGGAAAAAAGCCATCAGCAATTTACTTGTACCACTACCTCTTCTCATAAATTCTACATGGAGGCAGAAGGACAGCTAGAGTAGCAATGCTAGCACTGCACACAAGCATGCCAGCATATACAAAATTTACATTTAGTGTAGGCTGTGTACATACACGTACAACTACTATGGAAGGTTTTGTTCAGGTTTTTTTTTGTTGTTGCTTTTCTTGCTGCCCTAGAAGTTCTTCGATTCTGTTTGTCTGGTAGTGGCTGCAATTTCCTTCATTTTCATCTCACTACCTCTCTGACAATAAACAGAGGAAATAGGAACCCATATCAACCCACTAAACTGTGGAAGTAAATGGAAGCCATGAATCTCACTTCAGGTTAAAATCACTGTAACAATGCACTGATTTGGGAAAATGTGTTTTGTAATTTTTCCCTCTCTAAACCATGATGTTGTTATTTCTATGTATTAACAGTGATGTGTAAGTCACCAATCAATTATTCTCACCATGTATCTAGTCTATGAAACATATTTGCACTACCCAACCCCATACATGTACATAACCAATACAAATTTGGTACCGAAAGGCTACCTAAGCAGGAGAAAGGTTAAACACTACATTCTCTCCTGTATGGTTATTGGCAAGCACAGCTCAATGATCATAAAAAGGGCATAAAGAGAGAAGATTGCCCATCTGGTATCTTAAGTCTTCTGGCCAAAAGGACACAAGGCTTACGGGGCTTTCCATCTGATACCAAAATGTCAATTTCCAAAGACATTGATTCAGACCACACTGTGGCATTTGAACAGATTGTTCTGCCATATGAGAACAATTAAGGTCCGCCCTAGGTCAACGAACCTTAGATTGGCTTGGAACAATGCAGTTATCTGTGGCAGTGGATATTCTATCAAGGTTACCAACAATACTTTATCATCTAAAAGTGATCAGTGAAATACACTGGAGTCACCATGGCTCAATAATAAGAGGCTACCAAGGGCCCATATGGCTTCACGCAGTCTATATTACATCACACATAAAAATCTGTAACCCTTTCAATTCTATTTTATTTTAATGAGAAACCACTTCTACGTGTAAGTCAACAAATAAGTCTGCTGTATTGCACCTTAAACACAGACATAAAAGATCTTACTAAATATCTCATTTACCAACACTGCTATATTTTGAATATCAGTGAATTTGTTATGACTTACTCTGAAACATCAATGCATATGGTTATGCTTGTGATCAAAGAATAAATGACACCACAAAGCTATAGAATTGTGTCCAATATTTCATCATCTCTCTTCAGATGAAACCTCCATTTTTCATCCAGTACAGACGACTAGATCTACATGTACTGCATTACTTAACAGTCTGCACAGTGAGAGCAGAGAGCACAGGGGGAACCTTGAGCAGGGAGCTATGTGAGGCATCCAAAGGGGGGTGACACGCAGCCATTTTTGGTTACAGGGTGATCAATGATGAACTGTAGCAAGCTGATTTGCTTACGTTGTATGTACCAACGGATACTGTTACACTCTGGGTTATATGGCAACAAACTGACAGGCTGCTTAGGAAGATTTTACATCCCAGTAACGTAGCATTGAGCTATGATAAGGGATGCTTTGTATCTATATAATCAAGTGGCAAAGTCAGGCAGTCTGAGTCTTTTGGGTAATTATTGGAAAACATCCTGAGATGACTGGCTGAGGCAGCGGATGACGACAATTCCATCCTCGGGGGACCGTATAATTCTGCTTAGTAAGAAATAAGGCACAAAATCAAGTTAAATCAATCCAGATGATCCATTTAGAAACAGGATTGCGTCAATAGTGCTCCATTTTGTCTCATCTAAAAGTGATCAACAAAATACACTGAAGTCGTCCCAACTCAACAAAATACAGTTACAACTTGAAAATAAGAAGCTACATGCCAAGTCTGCAATTTCGTTACCGCTAAATATATTCAATTTTCATCGAACACTGTAAATAGTGACATATTAACTCATTATATAGTCTGCAGCCAGCAATTTGCGACCAACGCTTTACTTCTGTGACAAACACCACAGGAATTTAGCATGCGCATTAATCAAGTTAAGGGTTCTCATATATAAGTAAGGAATAGGCTGATCAGCTGATGCAGGACTGACTGTCTGTGACTGGTAATACATCACTGAAGATGGGATGCAGGGACTTTCCAAACAAGGAACCCTACTCCCAGGG